TCAAGTTTTATGAGATTTTATCCCTCCCATGCCGCTTGTGTGTCCATTATATTTATTAAGTAAAAGTTTTATTTTCATAAAAACCTTGGTGTTTCTTTTCTTATACCTTCCATTTACTTTTAATTTAATTTAAAGACTTTATTGCACACACAACAATGTTCTGTACAAAAATCAATTTAATAAAAAAAATAAAAATAAAAATAATTAATCATCATCATCATCATCATTTCAGCCATAGGACGTCCTCTGCTGAACATAGGCCTCCCCCAGTGCTTTCCATGTTGATCGATTGGTAGCGGCCTGCGTCCAGCGCTTCCCTGCTACCTTTACGATGTCGTCGCTGCATCCCACGCTGCGTTTTCCGATACGCGGCCTCCATTCCAGAACCTTGCTGCCCCATCGTCCGTCAGTTCTGCGTACTATGTGCCCTGCCCATTGCCTCTTCAGCTTGCTAATCCGTCGGGCTATGTCAGCGACTTTAGTTCGTTTACCCTTATAAAAACCTAATTGTTATAATTATCACATTAGAATACGATGGTTTTATGACTTAAAAAATATAACATTTAGAAATTTTTTTCGAAATTGATAAATAAAATACCTAAATAAATAAAAAGATTTTATTTCCTCAAATTCGAAATAGATATCACAATAATAATATGTATTAAATTAATTTGACTCTCTAATACATATAAAATTCTCGTGTCTACTAGGTGGACCGACGATCTGGTAAAGGTCGCGGGAAGAGCCTGGATGCGGGCAGCGCAGGACCGTTCATTGTGGAAAACCTTGGGGGAGGCCTTTGTCCAGCACAGTGTTTATAACAAAACAATATTACGTGCCTATTATTTATAGGTCCCTCGATTTCCCTAGGATCCCATCATCAGATCCTGTATGGTGGCAATGAGACCACCTCAGAAATTTACTCCATCGAACAAAAAAATAAATTTGAAAATCTGTCCACATACCTACATACAAAAAAGATGGCCTATTCGCAAAAGAAAAGCACTATTTTTTTCACACAAGGTGGACCGACGATCACATAAAAGTATCAGGAAGGCGCTGGATGCAGGCCGCTACCAACCGCCCGATGTGGAAATCATTGGGGGAGGCCTATGTTCAGCAGTGGACGTCCTGTGGCTGAAATGATGAACACCGTCTGCCTGTGTGCATTTACCCGACTGCACCAGAAGGAGGGTTATGTTTTTAACTGCATATATTCCCTCTAGTGAAACTGCGGGCAGAATCTAGTCAATACACTAGTTTTGTATTAGTAGTATTATTATACAGGGTGTCCCAGAACGGGTGAATCAAACTGCTAGGGGAGGTAGCTCTACTAATGTACTATCCCTAAAAATATGAAAAAAAAATAAAGCGCTTATGCGCTAAAAAATAAGGACACAATTTTTTTTTTTAAGTGAAAATAAATCAGCTTTGCCTAAGTATCTGGCTATAATTGCTGCGTTTGGAGTTTATTTGTACTTTTTTCTTACTAATATTAATTAATTAATTTATTTATTTATAGGTACAATTGTAGGTACATGATCGCTTCGTTTTATCTGTAAACAAACTTTTGAAAATAATGACGAGTTTAGAGCACTTTATTTTAAAAAAAATCCGATTTCAATTTTTTTTTTTCATAAGTTTTAGGGATAGTACATATAGTAGAGCTATCTCCCCTAGCAGTTTGATTTGGACACCCTGTATATTCCCTCGAGCGGAACTGCGGGCAGAATCTAGACAATACACTAGTTTTGTATATTATTAGTACTAAAATATTTATTTATTATCAAAAAAATACATGCTAATGGTTACAGCATGTTAATTATGTAGGTATTGCATTCATTTCTAAATATTATGTAAAACGGGACAGGTTATTGACATGTAAAGATAGAATGAGTTTGTGAAAATAAAAATTTATAAATACATTATTTTAAATGTTTTGTTATAAAATCAAAATCAAAAATATTTTATTCAATTTAGACCACTAGTAGCACTTATGAACGTCAAAAAACAGTAAATAAAAAAAAGTTAGTCCTTATGGGGCCACAAGCTGACCGACGACCTCATAAAGGTAGCGGGAAGGTGCTGGATGCAGGCCGCTACCAACCGGCCTTGTGGAAATCATTGGGGGAGGTCTATATTCAGCAGTGGACGTCCTAAGGCGTCCATCATTTCAGATGATGATGGAAGTTGGCTCTCAAGCATTTGGGTTAATAAGGTCTGGTGCTGAGAAGAATATTGGCAGAAGATTTGAATTTAAATTTGAAATTGAAGCCACTTATTATATTTGTCTGCTTTCCCAACACAGCCTAGCCACCCTTACCCCGTTTTCGCAACCTGCTACATCGATTACTCTTTATACTTCTACAAAACGTACGCAATTCTCACCCGTGTGTCATCAAATTAAAATTTCAACCTTCAATACTCAGCATAATATGGATTTGCAATACCCTTACAGGGTCATAAGTTGAGACTAAGTTTAAGATCACCACCTATGTACACTTATGAAGCAATAAATGATTATGATTATTGTGATTATGTTTTAAGACCTCAGAATGCATTTAAAAATTTCAGATTTTTACGCTGAGTTGCACCCTTTTGTACCCTTTGCACCACCGGCCTGCACCTACCTACCTGCTGAACTTGACGCTTCAATTTCCCGCCAAGAATTCCCCTCGAAGTTTCAATGCGTTTATTGCACTGCAATAAATAAATTAAAACTTTCAGTCGATGGTAGCACAGCACTATTTGTTAGTGGTGCAAGAGGGATTTAAAAATACCCTTTGCACCACCAGTGGTGCAGGACGGTGGTGCAAAGGGTACAAAAGGAGTTGCACCGTCTTGCTTTAACTTTAAGAAACGTCAAAAATCTGTCAAACTCCATACAAAAACACCGGTTATTGTTATAGTCACGATTAAAATAAGGTATAATTAAGGCAGCACTTAGATTAAGTTAAATACGTTGTAAATATTGATTGTCTTCCAGTGTATGTCTTGTTGGTTGTCCTATTAAATAAAATAAATAAAGGTGGTGCAACTCAGCCTTAGTTTAAGACCATCCCATGCGCGTACTATCCGTTCGCTTTAAGTTTGCCGCTGGCGATATGACGTCACTCGAAGGGAAGCGTCTATAACTATAACAAAACTATATTTAAAATATTTTTTATTTATTATTATTGATAAAAATTGTTTAATTTAATAGTTAAAACTTTAATCACTAACTAATTGCGTTTAATCGCGGTTGTAGGAGGGGACGCGCATTCCAGTATGGGCACGGGGCACTGGTCATTAGATGATGTACGAGTACCTCGGAAAAAGAAGGTTATTTATTTTTAGTAAGTATGGGTAAGATTAATAAAGGTACCTAATTAATTTCAAAGTTTATTTTTCGTTTGTGGTGTCGAATTGAGAACCTCCTCCTTTTTTGAAGTCGGTTGAAAACACCGACAACTTTTTGCACTGCCTTAGACTGTGCCAAAAGTTGTCGGTGGTTATGGTTGAGTTATGTAACTCTATAAACTTTCTTACGTCAACTCAGTAACTCCCTGCGGCTTATAAAATTAACTCAAAATTGCGTCATGGCAAGGATAGATGACGCCACTCGTCAATTGACATACTTTTTTTGAACTATCAAACGCGATTTTCCCATCCCATGTTCTTCTGATTAATTTCGTTGCGGGTCCAATGACAGTTTACCTTTCCCCGGGACAAACTTGACCATCACTGGTTGGGTTATTGGCGGTCGAGCTGTAGATAGAGATGGGTTTCCACCCGGGTAAAAACCCAAATGAGGGTAAAAACCCAATAAAAACCCGTTTTATTCCACCCGAGGGTGTTTACACCGGGTGAAAACAAATAATTTTATAATTGTTTCAATTGGTATCTTTTCTTTATTTTTATTGAATTTTTCTCATTTAAGTTTATTGATTAATAAGTAATACGTCAAATTTAACACTAATATGCATTTATATCGTGGCCAAATCGTAAAATTGATCACGTTATGATGATGTGACCAATTATTTTATAAAATGGTGTTATTTCAAGAATCATTGAACCGATTTAGAAGAAATTTAGTAGGAACACAATAATTTGTGATCATGGCAAGGACATGGAGGGGGGGATGCCAATGATGCCAAACTCTCTCTTTGATGACATTACGGTATAAAGTTACAAATAACAACACCTTCTACAAAGTACTTCTGCTTAAAAACTTGAAATCGAACCGCCCTTCCGTCACTGTAACGCATTGTAACGTTTTTCAAGTCCTCCTCTCCCCCAGATTGCATTACGTAACACTAGAACGCCCCCTTAGCAACAAATACCACTTCTCACTTTAAAAAAACGCTATTTTTGTTTTCACCCACCAGAATGGGTGATAATGGGTAAAAACCGGGTTTTACCCAAATCACCCAGTTTTAACCCAATCGGGTGAAATGGGTTTTTACCCACTACCCATCTCTAGCTGTAGATCCTGGCTACACCGGAGTTGCGGTGGGAACGAGAGGTTGTTAGTCAAATATCCAATATACTAAGGGCTGATTTTTCAATCGTCAGTTTACCTTTAACTGAAGAATAAACTTATCACTTTGACATAATTATTTCCCATACTGAAACTGTCAATGAATGATCAATCATCATCATTTCAGCCAAAGGACGTCCACTGCTGAACATAGGCCTCCCCCAATGACTTCCACAATGGCCGGTTGGCGCCGCCTGCATCCAGCGCCTTCCCGCTACCTTTATGAGGTCGTCGGTCCACCTTGTGGGTGGACGTCCTACACTGCGCTTTCCGGTACGTGGCTAACTGTAAATGTGCCAAACTTATTCTTCGTTAAAGTTACGTCCAGTCAAAATGACAAGTTTATTCTTTATCTAAAAGAATATGACGATTGAAAAATTAGCCCTAAGTTTAGTATATCACTAACCGCGGCGGGCACGCGTGCAATATCTCCCCGTATATTCCATCGCAGAACGCACCGCAATCCTCGCGCTCTACCAGTTAGAGTCGGCCGCTGGCGCGCACCACACGAAAATGATATAGTGTATATCGCCTTCGAACGTTTCCCTATATTCGAGGTGAGTCCCGTGTGTATTTAAGTGTGTGATTTTGTGCATGTTTTTTTGGGAATTTGCCGTGTTTTTTTATTGATTTTTTGAGGTAAAGTGATGTTGAAGGTAAGTAGATTGTTTAAATTAATGAAATTTTGATTTCGTTTTTAATAGAAACAAAAGAAATTGAGTGAAAAAAGGTTGTAATAAAATTAAACATTTTAAAATAGTAGTTTTTAAAAGTTAGTTTTTTAAAATTGAAAAAAGTGCTAATATGAATTCGAAACATTTTATTCACGTTATTCTAACTTCTAACACTGACAACGTTTTTTAATTAGTTAACTAGGGGGTTACTTTTTTATAAAATTAAGGCACGTTATTCCTAATAAATACCTGTATTTATTTTAAAATATGCACTTAAATATTCACTAGAGGAGTTCCGAACCTGCAACCACAGTCACAGTACTTTCGTACTCAACCACTAACTCTACATTCCTGAACTACAGTTAAAACTACTAAAAAGTATTTTTACGGGAATATTCCCACCTCTCATTCCCACCTCTGGAACTCCTATGTAGCCAGCCAAGCTGTAGAGCTTGACCGATTAAATGTGAAGATTTCTAATTTAAACTCCATATTACAAAACTACACTGTCTCTATAATTTACGAATGTGCATAGTGACTGAGTTTCTTGCGCTGCTTCTTCTTAGCACTGGCCAATTTATTGTCCCGAAGCAGCGGTAGGGTTAATACTGGGACGTGTAAAAGTGATTTTTCAATCAAAAATCAAAATATTTATTACTACTAACTAACTAACGGCCACCCGTGACTTCGTATACGCGTGGATCCCGTTTAACCCCCTAAGGGGTGAAGTTTTGGAATATCTTAGCGGATGCCTTCGTCATAACATCTACCTGCATGCCAAATTTCAGCCCGATCCGTCCAGTGGTTTGGGCTGTGCGTTGATAGATCACTATGTCAGTCAGTCAGTCAGTCAGTCACCTTTGAGTTATTATATTTAGTTAGATGGAGGATAAAGCCTACACAATCTAGACAATATTTTAATCTAAGAATAGAATCACGGAGTTATAACTACTAATAAATAATGATACAATCAATAAAGCCACTTCGAGCTTTCCTACAAGGAAAGGTTTGATAAGTTGCGACAACCGTAGTTACGGCGTGAGTTATGTAAGCTTAAAGCTTTTGTAAGCTCTTTGTAAAGCTATTGACACCATTATCCAATAATTACGAACAAAATTTCATTAAATAATTTCATTTTTAGTTAGTAACCAGACCCGGCTTCGGCTGTTTTATAAAAAACTGACAGACCGACTTACTCACACGTCACGAAATCTCAGAAACTACAAGTGCTAGGAGTCTCAAATTTTGCATGGGGGTTCCTTTTAGAACGTAGGTGCTCACTAAGACGGGGTTTTACAAAATTCAACTCCTAAGGGGGTAAATCGGGATCCACGCGTACGAAGTCGCGGGCGGCTGCTATTAGTACATAATATAAACTTCCTCATGATCACTCTATCTAGTATTGAAAACCATTTTAGAATCCGTTGTGTAGTTCAAAAAGAGCTAACGCCCGTATTTATAAACCATGCTTGCTTAAGTGAAGCAGCAAATCGAATGCACAGCATTGAATAGAGCTCTGTGATTGGTTATTGTGTGTCCACGTGCACTGTGAGACCTCTTAGTAAAGTTTGAGAATACGGACGTAAGCCACCACTTTGTTTAAACTCGTACGTAAAGACTTGAAAAGCTCAGTTTTCAATCAAATATAAAATAAGATGAATTTCCCATAGAGTCGAGACCACTTTTCCCGTGGATGTCTTAAGCGACTGAACATCAGGCCTTTTTTATCGCTGAGGAAATTCTTTGCGCATCGTCACCACTGCCGGGGGATAGGGTGGTTTGTAGGACTCCCGGCGCCCTGAAAAGAGCGCTGCTCCGTCCTGAAAAGAGCGCTGCTCCGTCCTGAAAAGAGCGCTGCTCCGTCCTGAAAAGGACGGGGTATACCCACTAAAACCTCCGCTGCGTTCCGTCATCGCCCGAGTGTCCGGCCTTAGCTTTAGACTTCCGCGACAGCGAACATAAGGCCTCCCTAACCCGTCTGGCCAGCGTGGGGAGTGTAGGCCAGATCCTCCATTTGCTGGTAAATAGAGGGTTGTGTTGTGCTCCTACAGTGGAGACTTAATGACCTGATGACGATGAAGATGAAATTCAGATAAATTACTTTGAGTTGGCTAACAAAAGACGCCATTTATTTAAACTCTTGCTCTACAAAATCTATGGTATAGTTCCAAAATACTGAACTGTCCTATCCATGACATTGACAGTGGGGCGCCACCGTCAATACCGGATCGCTGGTTCAGATTTTTGCCATGTTGGAAACCATATAGTTGAACGATGGTAGCGCCCCCCTGTCATTGAGTTTGGTGGGACAGTTCAGCGTGGGTCATCTATAGAGTTTTGACTGCTCATAAAAGTAATGTCAATGTCACGTCTACCTATTTTTATTTTTTTACTAAAAATACATGTACAAATTACCAATGGTTCTATTAGCCCTCGTGGTAAGCAAAAATGCTTGTGTTATTATTTTTTTTGACATTCTGTCAATTTCATTCAATCTGAATGACATCTGATTGGTTGTTCAAAACATTTCTCCGCTCCGCTCCGCTTTGGCGGAAACCGAGCTTAAGACTCATCATCATCATCATCAACAGCCGTTTACAGTCCACTGCTGGACTATGAGCCTCCTCCACTATAGTGGAGGGTTTTGCCATAATCCCCACGCTTGGCAGGCGGGTTGGAGATCGCAGTTTAAAAGATTGATGTTTTTCAGAGAACGCTGACTGCCCGTTCTCTGTTTGATATGTAGTGCGCTTCCTTTGGCATTTATCATACAGCTGTAACATGACTAAAAAGCTCCCAAGCTACTCCGACAGGTTAAAGCATTTTAAGCTTCAGTCTTTGGAAGATCGAAGAAATCTGATGGATCACTTGTTTCTCCATAAGCTGGTTAATGGTGTCCTTGATGCGCCTAACCTTCTGTCGCAGATCAATATTCGTGCTCCCTCGCGTGGTATTCGTCTAGCTTCTTACATGCCCTTCGTTCAGAGAAATTCATCTTCGCGTCAGGGACTCCAGGCACCACTTAATAGGCTAGTGACTAATTATAATAAAGTACACAAACATGTCACAAACAACATGGGTTCGCTCAGTGACTCATCAAGCGAACTGATTAATGTGGATATATTTTCAAGCAATATATCAAAATTCCGTAAAGGACTAATTTTGCTGCCTTGATTGTCTTTTCTAATTTAGGTATATATTTAACGCACTATAGTATGATCATAATTTAATTTCATAAAAGTATTTTTTTGCAAAATTATTGTAAAATTACTAATTTATTGTTATTTAACTTATTTCAATTTAAAATTTACTAATGTTCTGTGCTACGTTAATTCAATTTCTTTTGTGTAACGCCTATAATTAAGATAGCACTTAACCTATTATATAAGCATGTATAATATTGTCTAAAATGGTGTATGTCTTGTTGGTGTTAATAAATAAATAAATAAATAAATAAATAGTGCTTAAGACTCAACTACCCTGTTTTCGACAAAGATTATAAAATGGCTTCCTTCATATTGGATTAAGCTAAGAAGCTCTATAGAATAGAGCTTCTATGATTGACACTTTGACACTTTAGGCAGCGACGTAAAAAAAGGACTGGCAGAGAAGGCTTTATGGCATTAAGTTCGCCGTATTGTACACATATAGTATTAACTAGCGGCCGCCCGCGACTTTGTACGCGTGGATCCCGTTTTACCCCCTTAGGGGTGGAGTTTCGTAAAATCCTTTCTTAGCGGATGCCTACGTCATAACATCTACCTGCATGCCAAATTTCAGCCCTATCCGTCCAGTGGTATGGGCTGTGCGTTGATAGATCACTATGTCAGTCAGTCAGTCAGTCACCTTTGAGTTAGATTAATGTAGTATTGAAGATTAAATAATAACAAAGCAATACAAATTGTGTGGTTGCATATTATGATTCCGCGTTCAGAATAGATTTATGAGAATGCGTAACGGTTCGTTGGGAAATTACCACAAACATTGTGTACCTGTTTATTCATATCTACATTTAACCGCCTTTGTGGTCTAGTGGTTAGACCACCTGCTTCAGACGCAGAGGTCCCGGGTTCGATTCCCAGTGGAGGCAGAATTTTCTGTTCGGTTTGGTTGGTGGTAGGGCTTGTTCCAGCTAGCTAGCTACCACCATCTTACCTAAATCTGTCGCCATAACAACAAGCAATGTTAACAGCATTGTTGTGTTTCGGCAGTTAGAGGTAAGATAGCCAGTTCCTCTGTGGTTGAGGATTCCGGGTGAAACTCGCTTCCACCTTCGGCCTGATCGCCTGATCATCACTTACCATCAGGTGAGATACTGGCCAAGAGCTTCCTCGGATAAAAAAAACATAATATACTATGACGTATGTATCATTTCTACAACTCGTATTATACTCGTACAGTAGAAAATCATATACATACAACTATAGCTGTGCCCGCGACTTCGTACGCGTGAAAATCTATACTAATATTATAAAGCTGAAGAGTTCGTTTCTTTACTTTAAACGCTCTAATATCAGGAACTACTGATCCGATTTGAAAAATTGTTATTTTGTTGGATAGCTCATTTATTCAGGAAGATTTTAGGCTATATAACATCACCCTATAGCCAATAGGGGCGGAGCAGTAACGAAAAATGGTGCAAAAACGGGAAATATTATTCAAACTATGTATTTTCATGCGTACGAATTCGCGGGCAGAGCTAGTTCAAATACAATGTATCATATCTACTATTAAACAGTAGAAAAACATAATACAATATCACAATAAACGTATTTTGAATTTGAATTTGAATAATGATTGGAATGTTTGAACATAGGATCAATATCTACTTACAAAGGCATAGAATTAAATTGTCGAACTGCCGATGGTCGATAGTTCAATATGTCTTATGTTGGATTATTATGGTGAACCCAGTGTACACACACAGTTTAACTTGAAGAATAAATAAATTAACTTGTATTGTACAATTTTTAATATAACTGGAAGAAACCGAACTGCCTAAGGTGGGAATCGAACCCACGACCTTTCGCTTACCGGGCGACTGCTCTTTCATCTGAGCTACTTAGACACTGGATGAACCAGATATTTTATAAAGATAATTATCAAGTTATTTTAAAAATTTAGATCGAGAGGCGACTCTTGACGCCAGAATAGTTAAATAATTTGGTAGGTATTGGACAAATTCTTCTTTTTCTTTTCCCTAGCCCTTTTCCTTTTATTGGGATCGGCTCTCCTTGTACAAATTACTAATTAGATAATATTTATTTAAAACAATGCGAATTCTTGAAAACGACTCTGAAAATGGTGACAAAGTTTCTTGTGCTGCTTCTTCTTAGCACTGACCCATATTATTATTTCAAACTAGTGATACTAGTTTTACTGCATATTATCATATAGCTAAACGGGACTATTCCCACCTCTCGTTGCCGCCGCTGCAACTCCTGTGTAGCCAGGATCTACAGCTTGACCGCCAATAACCCAACCAGTGAAGGTCAAGTTTGTCCCGGGGGAAAGTTAAACTGTCATTGGATCCGCAACGAAATTAATCAGAAGAACATAGGAGGAGTTCGAAGTTAAGGTTCGACTTCTTCTTCTCCACTGCAAAGCGGAGACAAAACAAAAATTAGGTAACCTATAACAAAAGATATTATACTAGGGTAGACCGGGTACAATAGTACCACGGGTCAATTGTACCATCGGCGATATTTCTTCATACAAGCGACGTTAGGTTGTGTGCATAGCGTCAGAATATGCGCTTTTTGTGTTTCCATCCGCTCACCAGTCGGCGGCGCTTGCGCTGAGTAACGAAGATGTACAGGAAGGATTTTTGTTTTTTGCCCAGCCGCAGTAAGTTTTTACGTCAAATATATGAGCCCATAAGTTGCCTAATATGATATTTGTTACAAGGTATTGTTGTCAATAGTTTATCCAGGCTCTAAACTTTGTATCGACAGCGAATAATTGGCATTCACTTTGAAAATGACTGAATTTTAGGTGAAGTTCTCTTGACTACCTACTTGGAATAATTGTACCAGTCTCCATGGGGTCAATTGTAGCGGTACAATCAACCCCGTGGTACAATTAACCCCCGGAACCTTATTTTATACTTAATACATAATATTTTAAATTGGTTATAATAAAATAAGTTATTATAAAACATTCACGTGCTTATTATTTTTACAATTTTAGGCATACCTACCAGGCATTAAACCCTTCTGAATATGTACATTTTAGCTTAATTCAGTAAGTAACTAAGTATTTGAACGTTTTGTTTTAGATGCCTCGGCGTAGAGTCTAAAGTACGGATCGCGGATCAACGGATCTATTCCTTCATGAACAGGCTTATGAAAAAATCTTGAAAGTTCGAAGCAGTAGTAGATATAAATAATCAGGGTCAATTGTACCAGGGGTCAATTGTAGCCTTATACAAAAATAGATTTTTCAGTTTTGATATTTCTATCATTGTTATTATGCTTATTGTTGTTTCAGAAGCAATTTAGAAAAGAAAAAGAAAGCGAGCCAAATAGATGGCATATTATGTAGAAACAGTTAGTTTTTTCGTTTTTATGGAAGAAAAGTTATTGTTTTGTTTTTAAACTTAAGTGTTGATTTTTCAAACTTGTTCCTAAATATTTTCGATCTCAATTAATAAATACTGATGATTGTAGGAGATTAAGAGTACAGAGTACCAATAAAGGTGATGATTAGATAAACATAACTACTTTTATTGCCTCATATATTATTGGTACAATTGACCCGTTGTAGGGGTCAATTGTAACATATGAGACATCGTTCAGTTCAAATTGGTTTTTCATTAAGTATTCGAAAGAATAGTTCAACTCTGCATGCTTAAATTTGTAGCTTAAGAGTCTAGTTTTTAAAGCATCCTAACAGAATAAGTTATATTTCATTAGATTTCTCAATATTGAACAATTTCCAAAAAATGGTACTATTGTCCCCGGTCTACCCTACATCATATAGTTAAATCTCATCAAACTTTAGACTTAACATCTTTAAACGATTTATTCTAGCACTAAACACCCGTATTCACAAACGATGCTTGCTTAAGTGAAGCGGCAAATCGAACGCACAGCGTTGAATAGAGCTCTGTGATTGGTTCGTGTGTCTATTCTATTCTACATAATTAGGGATGATGNGCCGCTAGTCCGAAATAAAAAAATATCCGTAACCGTAACCAAAACCGGTATAATATTATTTATATATCCGTAACCGTATCCATAACCGAAACTACATATCTATAACTGACTAGAGCATTTACTTGTAACAGAACAATGAGCCGCTCTATGAAATGTCTAGTGTTTCAAGTTTCAACCTGTCACGAACCAAACGTCGTACATTTTACCTGTATTGTACCATTCGCAAGAACGTTGCATTACATCGAAATGCTCTAGTCAATACTCACCTTAAGGCACTGACTGAGTTAAACGCTAGACCTCTATCAGACCGAAATGGAAAGCAAAACGCGTGCCAAACCATTATCATTTTCAACTTTCCCGCGGGACAAACTTGACCTCCACTAAAGCCTGGTCCGTGAGCACGTAGAATCCCGTCCAATGACCTCAAGCTACCCATCCTTATCGCTCGCGCGTAATTATATTGCTGTCGCGACTGTGCGACGGGCGCCCGCAGTGAGTGTGCGAGCGCGACAGCAACATAATTATGTGCGAGCGACAAGGATGGGCAGCTTGGGGTCATTGGACGGGATTCTACGTGCTCACGGACCAGGCTTTAGTTGGGTTATTGGCGGTCAAGCTGTAGATACTGACTACACAGGAGTTGCAGCGGTGGGAACGAGAAGTGGGTAAGAGATGTTAAGGATATGAAGTTTCGGTTATGGATACGGTTACGGATATTAGAATAATTATACCGGTTTCGGTTACGGTTACGGATATGAAATCATTTCGGACTATCCGAAAGTTTCGGATAATTTCGGTGACTGATATTAGAATTTTAAAAATGTAAAATTCAAATAGCAAGATGCTGCGCGACCCACATAGCCACTTTATGAACTATAACGACACCTATGATAATGATGCCAGGGAATGCCGGACAAGTAACAAATCATCATCATCATCATCATCTCAGCCATAGGACGTCCACTGCTGAACATAGGCCTCCCCCAATGCTTTCCATGTTACCCGGTTAGTAGCGGCTTGCGTCCGTAAATATGAAAAAATATAAGATTTAGACTCCACCTTTATCCGAAACTGTGCCGAAACTATCCGAAACTTTTTAATCGGTTTCGGTTACGGTTACGGATATCCATAACATCCCTGGTGGGAATAGTCCCGTAATTGCATATCATCATCTTGTCAACGCATTTTGCTTCAAACATCTAAATATATAAAACTCAAAGGTGACTGACTGACTGACATAGTGATTTATGAACGCACAGCCCAAACCACTGGACGGATCAGGCTGAAATTTGGCATACAGGCAGATGTTATGACGTAGGTATCCGCTAAGAAAGGATTTTACGAAACTCCACCCCTAAGGGGGTAAAACGGGATCCACGCGTACGAAGTCGCGGGCGGCCGCTAGTTAAATAATAAAGTCGGTAAACCCACAAATTGTGAATTGGTGTTATGTAAGAAGTTGCATGCGAGTTGCCCAACAAGTAGGTAGGTATCGGGGTTTGTATGCCGTGCTATCGTGCACGGTAGTGGTGTGAGCCAAGTTGGGTAAAGGAATGGGTGGTAAGATGTGACCAAAAAATTTGAGGCATTCAAAAAATTATAGGATGTGATAATCGGTCGCATGAGACCGCGGTCTAAACTGCATCTCACTTAACACCAGGTGCGATTGCGGTCAAATGATGAAAGGTCCTGCCTTATCATGCATAAAAAAAAAGCTTGTCAACTGTTTTTAAAACAATTTTTTTATGGGTCCACTTTCAAAATCCTCAAAAAACCCTAAAAATTGTTATAAAATTTACCTAAAAACTGCCTATACAATTTTTATTAACTACAGTGGGTAATATTTTTGACTGGGACGTTTTTACGTGTCCCAGTATAATTTTAAGCCTACCACTGCTTCGGGACATTAACGTGGGAAGAAGAAAAGAAGAAGCAGCGCAAGAAACTCAGTATTTTTTGTGAGCAATTTAATCATTATGACATTGGCAAATAAACTCTTTGTGTATGAAATTATGAGTCAAATTCTATTAAATCTACACATTGGCTAACATAATAAATGTAGTTAGTTAATGTTGTAAGACTAAAATAATTTCTTGTATAATCGGTTGGTAAATAATGAGACAGGTTTAGTAACATAATAATAAAAATAAAAAGTTATATACAAAATGAGAAGTAAATCTATCAGTTTGTTTTTAAGACTTTCTCTGCTGAACCAATTTTTATAAATTTTGGTATAGTGATTAGTGAGACGTTCACAAGGTGGACCGACGACCTCAAAAAGGTAGCAGGAAGGCGGCTGAATTCAGGCCGCTTCCAACCGGTCTATAAGGAAATCACTGGGAGAGGCCTATGTTCAGCAGTGGACGTCATATGGTTGAAATGATGATGATGATTGATGAGACCTATAAAAAACATTTTTTTTGGCAAAAAAATTAGTCATTCAAAAATGACACAAAAAAGTTTGCGATAACAAATCTTGTAGAATTATACTAAGACGGCCACTAGCGCCCGCGACTTCGTACGCGTGAATCCCGTTTTACTCCCTTAGGGGTTGAATTTGGCAAAATCCCGTCTTAGTGAGCACCTACGTTATAAAAGGAACCCCCATGCAAAGTTTGAGACTCCTAGCACTTGTAGTTTCTGAGATTTCGTGATGAGTGAGTGAGTCAGTCAGTCAGTCAATCAATGACCTTTCGCTTTTAGATATGGACGATGAGACCTATAAAAAGAACATATTCTAGATTTTATCTAAAAAAAAAAAAGAATGAGTCAGAAAAAAATCGCGATAAAAAATTTAAAATGCAAAACGTTTCCGAAAGGGTACGCATAGAAAATATTAAGAACACGACCTTGTACATTATAAAAAAAGTAAGGCCGGTGACCCAGCGGGTCATAAAGTTACATTAGATAATAACAAACTAACTTAGAATACAAATCAGTTCTTAGTATTCTGTTCAAATTATACTTGAATAGGTAGGTAAAATACCATGTCAAAGACACCGCGAATTAGTTTTCTGTTTTGGAACTTGTGGTGTCTGGACTATTCCCACCTCTCGTTCCCACCGCTGCAACTCCTGTGTAGCCAGGGTCTACAGCTTGACCGCCCATAACCCCAGTGAAGGTCAAGTTTGTCCCGGGGGAAAGTTAAACTGTCATTGGACCCGCAATGAACTGATTTTTTTTTAAATAATTGTTCCGAAACAGTAGCAGGGTTATGTATAGTATAATTGCTATATAAATCTCAATTTGTTTTGACTTACTAAATTCCGCTCTTAACCTTTTAATACTTGCCTCATTTATTTTGCTCTACCATCGCTTCGAGACCAACTTTTAGCAAGTGCTGAGAAGAAGCGCCGTAACAAACTCAGTCCCCACCATCTGCCTTATTCTCAGGAAATAGATAATTCTATTGCGATAGATGCTTACATAAGGAAGCAGCGTCTGTCCTTCGCGAAGTCACAAATTTCGCAAAAATAAAAGTTCACACGGATGTGCTAAAGAAAGCACTTACGAGTAGGCCGGACGTTGTGTAACTCACGGTCAGCTATCTGGGGCAGTGTTTGTAGAACACAAAAACCTGTATTTTGAAGATGATTTGAATATGCCAAAGGCATTATAACATCTTAGATGAATGATATTAGATAATCTATCTAAATATTTAACTCAAAGGTGACTGACATAGTGATCTATCAACGCACAGCCCAAACCACTGGACGGACCGGGCTGAAATTTGGCATGCAGGTAGATGTTATGACGTAGGCATCCGCTAAGAAAGGATTTTACGAAACTCCATCCCTAAGGGGGTAAAACGGGATCCACGCGTACGAAGTCGCGGGCGGCCGCTAGTTAGATAATATGACATAATAATGCTAGCGGACCTGTGCGTCTAGACAAAGTGCACAGTATAATCGCAAACCAGTCGAAAAGTGGTAGAAAGGCCTTTTGTTAAGTTAAAGTTTTGACGGATTCGATTTTCGATTCGAGATTTCGTGATGAGTGAGTGAGTCAGTTAGTGACCTTTTGCTTTTATATAAACCAATTCTTTTGTTCCAGAATTAATATTGTGGAAGCGTACCTCAAATTAAAGACAAAGGTCCTATAGACCTCACCAAAATGGCAGAAAAAGCAGAATTTTACTACCAGTAAGTAAACTAGGTGCCTGAGGTATGGACGAGGCACGAGAGGGTGTTTTTGAAACTTCAAACGTCAGCGAGACTTCAGATCTCCTTCAAATTATTTGCTCTATCACGTCATAATTATGTCAATCTCCCGTGCCGCACCCATGCCTCAAACACTGGCTGAGTTAAGCGCTAAACTTATAACTATAATCTCAAACAACACAAGGCAGGGTTCGAACTCTCAGCTAACCCTCTCTTAGCTCTCCAAAAAGAATTAAGATTATGATATCTACGGTACTTCTCGGCACAGCAGTCCGTTTTGAACAACTACACCAAACGGCCGACAAATTGTATGGAGTTTTAATTTTGGTACATTTAGTTAAAATAAGATCAAGTTAGATGATACTTCTGATTGATCTTTGATTATAATAAAAATCTTCGATCAGACAGTCGAAACTAGTAGTTTTTCCTGGTCTTCAATAAACATTTTCTTCCAGAAACATGGAAAACCTGAATGGAAACGATCCGACCATGCCCAACCTGAACCAAGAAATCCCCCACGAAAGCGTCGAGTCCATAGCAGACTTCTTCAATGGATCCATCGTCCTAGTGACCGGAGGAACCGGCTTCGTAGGCAAGGCTCTCTTGGAGAAACTCCTGAGGAGTTGCCCAGGGATTGACACGTTGTATGTGCTCATGAGACCAAAGAGAGGGCTGACCGTGGAACAGAGGTACAAGGATCTCCTCAAAAATCAGGTATGTTGATGGATGGTTGAGAAACAGGTTTGTATAATTTTATATAAGCCAATGTTTGCTGTGTGGTTCTGGACCATTCTGGAGTGTAATATGACCAACCCACATTTTAAGTGCCCTCCAAAGGACAAGATGATGATTTAAGCCTGCAAATAACTACTTAAATGATTTAACACTATGTTTTGTCCCACCTAAGAATCAAATCAGAATCTTCTAGTCCATAGAGTCTCACTCTCTTAGCCCTGACCGCTATCATAATAACAATTTGTGAATACCCATTACTATTCATTAGCTTAAATCAATATGCTACGAGTATATTCACATGATTTGCTAATATCCTTTTCCTAACTAGAACTTCTAAGATAGTTTAGTACCGTAGGAACTAGGGAGTATGGGCACAGAATAGTTGCTACAACAGATCCTTCATTTGCTTCTGGAAAATTGGAAAGGGTCAAGCTTGGATGATAATGATTAACATCCCGAACTAAGATCACTAGGTTTCATTTATTTATTCTGTAATCCGATCTCAATTACAAGGAACATAAGGAGAACTTAATGCCATAGAAATTATCTCCAGGTTTTCGACCGAATCCGCGCGCGCTGGCCGGACCGACTCAGCAAGCTTACACCCATCACCGGTGACGTCAGCTCCCCACAGTTGGGAGTCAGCCCTGAACAGCGTCTGCTGTTGGCCAACGTGACTGTGCTGTTCCACTCAGCTGCCACAGTGAGGTTCACTGAACCGCTGCACATGGCTACCACACTGAACGTTCAAGGGACAGCGTCGATGCTGAAACTGGCTGAGGATATGCCTAATCTGAAGGTATTTTATTCATTTTAAGCAATTCTCGATTAAGACGCAGAGTACAGAATTTTATATAGTTAGGCCCTTGTAATTTGTATGAAGAATCGGCCAATACCTAATCGGTGTAATGGGCGTACTTTCATAGTAGGAAACTAGGATGATAAATAAATAATATCTTCTCTGTAAGTGCTTATTAACTCCCGCCCGGATTATAGTGTTCGTGTGGTTTTGTTCACCACTCAAAGCATATGATGTCGTGCCCTGCGTGCTTAAATAACTGCACGCAGGAAGACTTAATTAAGGCTACTGACAACACTGTGTAGGTTCGTTGTCGACACGACAAGAAGAAGATAGTGTTCGGGAAAAACAGCAGCAGGCAGCGAATTTCCAGTCCCAAGCCCTAGTCCCAGTCGCATTATAAAAGAGTTATCGAATCGCTTAATGCGAGCTGGTGGAATGTCGACAATGTAGGGATGGTACGCTCTGCGTCTGGTTCCCCGATGAAGGAAGGGGGCTGTTAGGTCGTGTAATTCCTTCGCACATTCTCCGAAGTGTAGCCTGTAGAAAACCGTTAGAGAAACTCAAGAGGATACTATAAAGTAAACAATTATTTTTAAACTAGCGGCCGCCCGCGACTTCGTACGCGTGGATCCCGTTTTACCCCCTTCATCTATCTTACGCGGTTTAGATTTATTCATACAAATATTTTTTCCCGCTAACTCCCGTTCCCACGGGAATTTTGCAATATCCTGTTGTAACTAAGCTTTAAGTTTACTAAGATACCTGCATGCCAAATTTCAAGCGTCTAACTTAAGCGGTTTAGATTTTTCATACAAATATTTTTTCCCGCTAACTCCCGTCCCCGTGGGAATTTTGCAATATCCTGTTGTAACTAAGCTTTATGTTTACTAAGGTACCTGCATGACAAATTTCAAGCGTCTAACTCAAGCGGTTTAGATTTTTCATATAAAAGGATTTACCCGCTAATTCCCGTTCCCGTGGGAATTCCTAAGTATCCTATAACCTGCCCAGGAGTATGAAGAATAATTGTACCAAGTTTCGTTAAAATCCGTCGAGTAGTTTTTGTTTCTATAAGGAACATACAGACAGACAGACAGACAGACAGACAGACAGACAGACAAAAATTTTACTGATTGCATTTTTGGCATCAGTATCGATCACTAATCACCCCCTGATAGTTATTTTGAAAATATATTTCATGTACAGAATTGACCTCTCTACAGATTTATTATAAGTATAGATATAGATAGATGACAAGACTGCGTGGATTTTACCTGCCTAGCTCGCACTTATTGCGTGTCATGTAAGCTATAAATTACTGTATTGGATTGGAAAAGAGGCAGACAAAGGTTTCTTCCGCCACTTCTCAGCACCAGCCTATATGTTGTCCCGAAGTGGTGGTAGGGCAAGCTATAATTGGGACGTGTATAAGTGCCCTGGAAAGGGCCTATGTACTGAATAAACTATTTGAATTTCAATGATCTGATGATGATATTCCTTCCAGGCCTTGGTCCACGTGTCCACGGCGTACAGCAACGCCCCGCGGTCCCATATCGAGGAGATGGTGTACCCCCCGCCTTATGACCCGGATAGCATCATGAGATGCACCAAGATGCTGCCAGCTGAAACCATTGACGTCATTGCACCGAGTTTACAGGTAAATCACAGTTAAAGTCTTACGCCCGTATTCACAAACATTACTATGAGGTCTCACAGTGCGCGTGGACGCACAGGGTCACGAACCAATCACAGTACCTCTAGCATGAACAACTTTCGTCTTCGTATCGTTTGCGTATTCGATAAAATTCGATGCTCCCTTCGAATTCAACGATAACGTGACAATTTTTAATGTCAAAATTAGTTTCGTGCTACCATTTCAAATAATGAGTTCACTTTACGTCACTTTCAGAGGGGCTCTGTTTAAGTTTTCATACTAAATATTTTGATGGCGATTCGAATACGCAAACGATTCAAACTCGAAAGTTTTTCGTGCTAGAAACACTGAGCTCTATTCAAAGCTGTGCGATCAATTTGCTGAAGCATCGTTTGTGAATACGGGCGAAAGTCATATGTCTTTATTTGTGTCACTATAACTGAAGAATGTCTTGACCCATTACCTTGAATCATTATTTTTGGTTGGTTCCATAATTAACCGTCAAGACAAGGAAGGAAAATCTGGAAAAAATACCTGAAAATTTTCAAATTCAAAAGTCCTTTTCGTGTGGAGTTGGAATTAGCTGAGCGTGACTAGGGTTGGAACTTAGATCGTTTCAGCCAAATGATGTCCACTGCTGGACAATGGCCCCAATTCCCCCAAGAATCTCTACACCGACCGGTCCTGCGCTGCCTGCATCCTGGTGCTTCTAGCGATCTTTATGAGATCAACGGTCCACCTAGTGGGAGGCCTATTTATACAGTGTGAGTCACGTTAAAGTGTACATATGAAAATAGATGAAACTAGACCTATTTTTATCGACAAAAAAGAGGTCAATTTTTTTTTTAGATTTTTTTTAAAATTTTTATAGAATTTTTTTTCTTCCAATGACTTATTGTAAAGAAAACGTAATAACTTTTAAACTAAGCGGTATATCCTGATAAAATAAAAACAGTAATAATGCTAAATAACAGGCGATACTAAAAAAATACATAAAATACACAAAAAAGGCCACAAATAATAAAAAAACATACTTTTTGAAAAAAAATTGCTTTTAAATTCGTGTTTTTTTGGTTATTTGATAAATTTCTCCAAAAAATGCCCCAATAATAGGTGGTTTTTATTACTTTTTATTATTCTCTATCGTATTACCTTCGTAAAACCAAAAATCGCATGTCTCTATCCCTATCACAACGTTTGCAATGATCGTTTGAACTAAGCCTCTCCGGGCGCGCCATTCAACGCTTCGTTTACAACGACACTGAAAATGGCTCTAGATTTGTAATTTTGATAAAGTCAAGTTAGATTTCAAATAAAAACAAAAGATTACGAAGTAAAATAAGCATTTTAGTTAAAATTAAAATTGTCTCTACCTGTAGCGGAGAATAATGTTGTGGCAGGCCTTTGTTCAAACGATCATAGCAAATGTTGTGATAGGAATAGAGACATGCGATTTTTGGTTTTACAAAGATAATACGATAGAGAATAATACAAAGTAATAAAAACCATCTGTTATAGGGGCATTTTTTGGAGACATTTATCAAATAACCAAAAAAACACGAATTTGAAAGCAGATTTTTTTCAAAAAGTATAATTTGTTATTATTTGTTGGCCTTTTTTGTGTATTTTATGTATTTTTTTAGTATTGCCTGTTATTTAGCATTATTACTGTTTTTATTTTATCAGGATATACTGCTTAGTTTAAAAGTTATTACGTTTTCTTTACAATAAGTCATTGGAAGAAAAAAAATTCTATAAAAAATTAAAAAAAAATCTCAAAAAAATTTTGACCTCTTTTTTGTCGATAAAAATAGGTCTAGTTTCATCTATTTTCATATGTACACTTTAACGTGACTCACACTGTATATACTACGTATTCATGGTCGCTACTCAAAAAATTTTCAACTTTTAAGAAAAACATGAGAATAATGAAAAAGAAAACACATTTAATTGTGTCGAACAGCTAAAGGTGGACCGAAGTCCTTAAAAGATAGAAGGAAGGCGCTGGATACAGACCGCTACCAACCGGGCGATGTGGAAATCATTGGGTGAGGCCTATGTTCAGCAGTGGATGTCCTTTGGCTGAAACCTTTCTGTTGTTTTCGTCAAAAAAAACTAATTTGGAAAAAGTGCGCCTATTTTATGGGCGAAAAAGATTAATAGAACCTTTTTTTCCAGGGCGAGCATCCTAATCCGTACACTTTGACGAAGGCCCTGGCGGAGTCTATAGTGTACAGCCACACCAACTTGCCTGTCTGCATCGTGCGCCCTTCTATTGGTAAGTCACAATATTTTTAGCAAGACCCCTTCCCGTAGATATCGTAGCGAATATGTCCCATATGGCTACGGAACTATTCCCACCTCTTGTTCCCACCGCTGCAACTCCTGTGTAGCCAGGATCTACAGCTTGACCGCCAATAACCCAACCAGTGAAGGTCAAGTTTGTCCCGGGGGAAAGTTAAACTGTCATTGGACCCGCAACGAAATTAATTAGAAGAACATAGGAGGAGTTCGAAGTTAAGGTTCGACTTGAGTCCCGCAGAATAGAAGGACCGCGGAATCGGTGTAATGTGCGCACTTTCATACATATCCATACTGATTAACAGCCCGATCCATCTTTTGATGGTCTCTTCTTTTATAATAGGCTAGATGACAAAATTTCAGTTATTAGTCCGTCAGACAGATAATTAGAAAATATTAGACTCATATTTTTTATTTTCTTTCATAATTAAATAATAACAGTGCTACATCGAGTTGAAATGGCGCGATACGCCACACTTGAGTAGAATTTTTACTCAAAAGTGACGTCACGCGACATTTCAACTCAATATAATACTGTTATTATTAGATTATGGAAAAAAATAAAAAATATGAGTCTAATATTTTCTAATTATCTGTCTTACGGACTAATAACTGAAATTTTGTCATCTAGCCTATTAACAAAATCGTTAGTTTTGACATATTTCCCATACTGAAACTGTCAATGTGCCAGTTAAGTAGGTATACCAGGAGTTATTCTCGGATTAAAGTTTGGTCGAATCGGGCCTTAGATGAAAAAAATCCACACGATCGTAGTCATGCGCAAAAAATAGTTAGTTATGTACTAGATACTTCATGCAAGTAAACAATGGGAAAAACGTAATTATCTAACATTGAAAGTCGCTGTTAGAACTCCAGTTTATAGTGACTTTCTATGGACATTTCGATGCTATCGTCGGAATCAAAATAAATAAAGGACTGAAACAAATACACTGGAACTGCTATTACTATGGAAATATGTAGAAGAAGGAAAATTGAATTTGTGTCAACAACAGTAATTTCATATTTATCTATATAAAAAGATTCTATCTGTCACAAAAATTGGGGATCTCCAAATATAGGTACATTTAAAACGTCAGTTTAAAATGGTAACTGAGTTTCTTGCGCTGCTTCTTCTCATCACTGGCCCATTTATTGTTCTGAAACAGTGGTAGGGTTGTAGAATACTGGGACGTGTAAAAAGTTTTTAAAAGCCTATTTATTTACAGCAAATAAATTAATCAAAATGAAAAATATTTTATTCAATTTTGACCAATATTTCTGCGTGCTATGTGCCCTGCCCATTACCACTTCAGCTTGCTAAGCCGTCAGGCTATGTAAGCGACTTCAGTTCGTTTATGTTTCTATGTTTAGCAGTGGACGTCCTATGGCTGAAATGATGATGATGACCAATATTTTGGCACTATTATTCTTTAGTACAGACATTTCAAGGGTCTTTCTTTAATCAATACCCCTTAGCTCCTTTACCCCAAACTTGCGTACACACACAAAAGCTGTCCCATACATTCTCATACAAAATGTATGACACGCGTCTGCCGCCATTCCCACGACATTCATCAAATAATCATCGGCTGTATCGATTTCATACACGTGTTCTATTCACAAGCGCTAGTGTTGGGACACAAGTTTCGGCTGCAGCTGTGATTCGTCGCAAAAGGGACGGTAAAAGAAAGGTTTATCCAGAACCTAAATTGCAAAATAACCGGGCTTTCTGTGATCAATTCAAGACATGTATAAAAATGCGTAACAGCGAAGATAATTCCTGCTTTTTTAAGAATCTTTCGGCTGTTTCTACGCAGTACTTTGTTTTAATAATTAATTGGAACAGATTACATGGCAGTGACACACATTTTAGCCGTCTAAAGGTATCAACTTCACCTAATTTGCTTGGTTACTAATAGTTTGCTCCGTATGAAAATATGTAACTAGCGGCCGCCCGCGACTTCCCGTCCCGATCCCGTTTTACCCCCTTAGGTGGAGTGTGGAGGTGGAGTTTCGTAAAATCCTTTCTTAGCGGATGCCTACGTCATAACATCTACATGCATGCCAAATTTCAGCCCGATCCGTCCAGTGGTTTGGGCTGTGCGTTGATAGATTACTATGTACCTTTGAGTTAGGTATATGTATTTAGATAAACCAACAAATTTTAAAGTAGCCGATATTATATCAATCGAAGCCGAACGGCCGAGGTGTCCCATCACTAGCTATCAATAATAAGCCAGTGTCTGTTCCACGGTAAAAAAGGAAAGTTTTAGTGACCTCATTTTATATAAGAAGCCTTTAGCTTCATTCTTATGACGCAATTTTGTTTATAAGTAGACAATTTTGTTTATAAACCAAGTGGCAGTGGGCGGGGCACATAGCTCGTAGAGACGATGGCCGTTGGGGCAGAAAAGTTCTCGAGTGGCGACCACGGGCTGGAAGACGTAGCGTGGGCAGGCCTCCTACTAGGTGGACCGACGATCTCGTAAAGGTCGCGGGAAGAGCCTGGATGCGGGCAGCGCAGGACCGTGCATTGTGGAAAACCTTGGAGGAGGCCTTTGTCCAGCAGTGGACGTCATTTGGCTGAAACGAACGAACGAACGAAGACATAGACCTCCCCAACCCGTCTGGCCAGCGTGGGGAGTGAAGGCCAAGTCCTCCATTTGCCTCTGGTGAATTAGCACGACCCGTGCTCCTGCAGTGGAGACTGAATGACCTGATGATGATTATGTAGACGCAGGACAAGCTAAAAACTGACATCTAAATATATAAAAGGAGAAACTGACTGACTGACTGACAGATCAACGCACAGCCTAAACGGCTAAACGTAGGCACTTGAAATTTGGAAGGGACGTAGCTTAGGTACCGTAGAGGTGCACTAAGAAAGGAATTCCCGAAATTCCCACGGGAACGCGAATTAGCGGGAAAAACGGGATTCACGCGTACGAAGTCGTGGGCGGCCGCTAGTGTTACATAAATGTTTGTAATAGAGCGACTTTTTACTACAAAAAAAAAATAAAAATTAATAAATTCTTAATGTTATTCTTTCTTTCTTTGCATCGACCTTTATTATTACTGACCTTTATTTTTGTTTCTGAAACCAAAACAGCCGAAAGATTCTTAAAAAAAACAGGAATTATCTTCGCCTTTACGCATATTTATATGTCTTGAATTGATCACACAGAAAGCCCGTTTTTTTGCAATTTGGGTTCTGGATAAACCTTCATTGCTGACCTTTATATTCTATTTTGTTTCTAAAACCAAAAGTTGGAAAGTGAGTTGATTTTGCACGAATTTTGATGAAACATCAGAATAGCACATTAGGCTTTAATAAGAAGATAGCTAGCAAGAAGTTACTCAATGAAAAAAGCATGAATTATGATTAGGTACTGCTATGCATAAACCAGCTGAAAATTGATCGACACGCATTTTGAGCACATGGCTCATAAAGCTGATGGCCGTCGGGGCAGAAAAGTTCTCGAGTGGCGACCACACGACGAAAGACGTAGTGTGAGAACCCCCGTGGACCGACGGTCTGGTAAAGGTCGCGGGAATTACCTGGACGCGGGCGGCGCAGGACTGATCGTTATTGAAATCCTTGGGGGTGGCCTTGTCCAGCTGTGGACGTCATTTGGCTAAAACGAACGACGAACATATTTTGAGACACACATTTTTTTATTATCTAACTATCTAATAATTTGTTTTAGTGACCGCGGCCTTCCAGGAACCATTTCCGGGATGGATCGACAACGTTTTTGGAGTCACCGGTAAGTCCTACAAATTAGTACTACCTTCACCAAAGACTTCTTCGTACAGTTAAGAAACTTTTCATACTTTTTGTTACACAATGTATGAAGATTGAAAATTCCAGTTTAGTACTACCTACTGGATGGACAATTCAATACGATATTTCTAATTCGTGCGCGATGGCGCATTGGTTTTCCCAAACCTTAAGAACTAGAAATTGAAAGAAAGAAAGAAAGAAAAATATTTATATTTAGTCCCAAACATCCTTAGACTACTTACAACAATATAATTACTTTCTTATGTAGTTAAATTTGAACTAAAATGGCAGCCACTCAGCATGTGCTATGCCCTAAGTCAAGACCTAGAGTATAACGCTGGTATTCGGTGGCAGCCATATCAAGTGGGTAGACATTAATATTTAAATTTACACATTTTTTCTTAAGGTACAATTGGCTGAACCTTAAGAACTAGAAACGCAAAGCGTGTTTATTTACTTTTTTTTGCTGTTATAATTTATTTTATTCATCTTTTACCTCATGTTCTTCTTCTAAAAGGTATAATAATGGAGATATCTCGCGGGACCTACCGCTCGGGGTACTGCAAGGAGCGGTACGTGGTCGACCTGGTGCCTGTGGACGTGGTGGTCAACTGCTGCATCCTGGCTGCGTGGAGACAGGGCTGCAGGCAGTAAGTGGAATATTACTTCATCATCAGGCTGCCACAATTTCCAGAAAGACCTGTTCTTCCGCTAATGTTTGAGTGTTATCGGTACACGCTAAATTATCCATGAGTGCACACGCACAGTGCACACTACAATAATGACGCACGGATTGCTCGGATCAAACTCCCCGCACCCCGCGCTTGGTGCAAAAATTGGTGGGGTGCGTCTTCGTGGATGAAACGATCTATAACAGTCCACTGCTAGACAAGGCGTCCGCCAAGGATGTCCACAAAGACCCGTTCTGTGTTACTTGACCAGGAGCTTCTTGTGATCTTCACTAGATTGGTTACTTTATCATCACGATTTGGTCAATTACTGCATCCTTTCTGCATGGAGACAGGGGTATAGGCAGTAAGTAGACCTCGTTACTTCATCATCAGGTTTTTAAGTAATTCAAGCGGTGTTTTGACCGTAATCAAACTGACAACGTATTCTACGGTGTTACCTGCTCACTAAATGTATTTTCTGGATCTCGTTTCAATCAAAAGACGAGCAATGGACGCTGGACAAAGGTTTTCTTAAAGGATTTCAACAACTATGGGTCCTGCGCTTCTCGGCTACTTCTCAGCGCCGGCACACATTATCTTCTTCTTCTTGTCGTGTCGCCAACAATCCTATACAGCGTCAGCCCAAAACTCTGCTCCAAGAGTGGCGTTGTCAGTAGCATTCATTAAATCTTCCTGCGTGCAGATGTTTGGGCACGCAGGGCAGGGAGAAATGTAGTAAGCCTTCTCGTAGAGCGACTCCTTTGCTTGGGCTCTCCCCGTGAGTAGCGACAGAAGCTGTGAACGAATTACTAAAGCCCGGTATGTGAGCACGTAGAATTTTGTTCAATGACCCCAAGCTATCCATCCTTATCGCTCGCGCGTAATTATGTTGCTGTTTCGCTCGCACACTCACTGCGGGCGCCCGTCGCATAGTCGCGACGCGACAGCAATATATTTACGCGCGAGCGATAAGGATGGGTAGCTTGGGGTCAATGGACAAAATTCTACGTGCTCGCAGACCAGACTATACACTACGATGGCAAAACAAAGGCCCATATTATTATTCCGAATCATGGTAAAAAGTTACATGTTTTGTATGTTCTTTCCAGGCCTGGTCGCTGCCCGGTCTACAACGTGACTTCAGGAGCCATCAAGCCCCTCCAGTGGGGGCAAATGACGAGACTGTGCGTTAAATGGGCGAGAGAGAACCCTACCAAGTAAGACACCATTTTATTGTCTTTTATAGTTGTTTTATAAAAGAAATAAGGGTGCTCGTAGTCTCCAAGTTCTCCTAAAGAAAATAACTTCCAAACCCACAGGAATATTTTTGGGAAGACTCAAAAGTTCATATGATAATTCCCCTAGTGCTTATTGGTTTATCGTAATGTTATTATCTTTTCTTAAAGGTTAACTTAGTAGCTATTTATTTACCTTTGTCTGTCGTTTGTGATGCACTTTATGCAGAAAAGAAATACCTTAACTTCGAACTCCTTTGTCTTTTTCTCGTAATTTTCTTGCAATTTGATCCTTGTCTTTTCTTTCTTTCTTTAATTAAATAAAATAAAAACTCTTTCAGATACGTGATGTGGTACCCCAACTTTGGATTCACGGAGTCCCGTTTCCTGAACACGTTCTGGGAGGTCTCCTGCCACTTCTTACCAGCTTTCCTGTATGACGTGGTGTTGAGAGCTCAGGGGAGGAAGGCTATGTGAGTAATATTACAGATTTCTTCATCATTATCATCATCATCATCTTCATCTGGTCATTTAGTATCTAATGCAATAGCACGACTCTTAACCAGAGACAAATATTTCGAAATCATAATTATAGTCCCAAAAGTTGATATTATATTTCGAACTCTTATAATATTCTAGTTAAATTCGATGTGGGTTTCAAGACAGTAAGTAAGTTATCCTCGGGACTACTCAACCTTCACTGGTTGGGTTTCATTGGAGGCCAAATTACAGATCCTAGCTGTACAGAAATAGCAATGGTGGAAAAGAGCAGTAGGATTCGTCCCGTTCATAGAGATTTAGAGAGATGCCAACTAATGCGCTGAGTTTGATACACAGTGTCGAATTTGAAATTCACACACACAAAGTAATCAAAATAAAAACAATACGTCGCGAAGAGTGCAATGTAAACTGCTTACATATAATTATAACGTCGCTGCTGTCATCATTGCTGTCGCAATCAATGTGTTCTGTTTTTGGGCATATTGCTGCGATACTGGCCCCGCCCCCTTTTCACATCTCCCTTTATTTTCTGTGATCTGTGCTTACGATATACACGGCATGATTTGGTGATCCCATTCTACTCAGCCGGAACCACATGGCTGGTTGAAAAAATGTCCTAGCCCAGTTTTATAAAAATGACCAAAAATATTATTCACTTAATTGTTTCTTTTCAGCATGATGAAGATCGCCCGCCGCTTCAAGTTAGCTGCCGCTACTGGCGAATACTTTGCCAACCGAGAATGGCAGTTCGGAATCTCCTCTCTGACCGCGCTTCACTCCGAAGCGAACCAGACTAAAGACGCTGCTGTGTTCCCGTACTGGCCTGCACAGTTCAGTTGGGAGACTTATATTGGAGCGTATATGCTGGGGATCAGACGGTTTATACTAAAGGACACGCAGGAGTCGCTGCCGCAAGCCAGGAGTAAATTGAGGAGGTGAGACTTTACAGTGTTCATTTTTGAGCAGTGTTTCAGTTTAGTCAATGAGGGCTACCGTCTTCATCATCATAAGTCATTTAGTTTCCACCACAGGTATACCCACTAATTTGTCACAGGCAAATGGAGGATTTGACCTACATTTTCCATGCTGGCAAAACGGTCATTGTAGAGTAACGGCCGGTTCACACATGTCTCCGTTTTACTGTTCCGTTTTATCGTGTACGTTTTTTTTTCGTCGATGTATGTATTACTGTATACAGAATACTGTGTCATGTGAAGTCGCTCATACAACTACATACGCCATCGACGAAAAAAACGTACACGATAAAACGGAACAGTAAAACGGGGACATGTGTGAACCGGCGGCCGGCCGTTAGATTAGGTTAGTCAAAAAAAATAGGTTAGGGCTAAGACAGAGGCGCCTGTGGCACCAACTGGTGATTGCTGAAGCCATAAGAGGAATATCGTGATTGCACCCACAAGGTGAACCACGACCTCATAAGACGCAGGATGCAGGCCACTGCCAACCGGTCATCATGGAAGTGATAAAGGTAGGCCTATGTTCAGCGATGGACGTCTTACGGCTGAAACGAAGATGATGATGACCAGTGGCGATACAGTGTAAAGTAAGGTCCTGTTACTCGCCAGTGGCGCCAACTGTGTACCTACCATGAGTTCACGTTAGGTGTGCTCGCTAGCGAGTACGTCAAAAATCTCTATGAAGATTTTGTTTCTTGAAAGTAGCCGCTAGGGGCGCTGCACAATATGTCATACAATCAATGTCATTTTTTACGCAGTCGCTAGCGAGCACACCTAACGTAAACTCATGGTAAGCACACTGGTGAGCGAAAAATTTCAATAGCCTCATTAAAACTTTTCAATGAGTTTATCTACCTACTCAATTATTACAAGAAAGCTCGAGAGGTAAAATAACTACTGCTTACTTTACTAGAACTTACTTAAAATTGTATTTAAGCATTTTATCTTTTACATATTGCTATTTTCTTTCCAGGTTGTATTGGGTGCACAAACTGTTCCAATTCGCCACCGGCTACTATGTGTTTAAGTTTCTGTCGGGACGTCTACGGTAAAATAATATGTAAAACTATTTTAAGTCTATAATTTCCTCTTATTTAAATTTAGCATAAATAACACGAATGTAAGGTTTGCGGAATTCACGCGGAGCAAATTTTATGTTACCACTACTCCCCGATAGATGGCACTAGTAGTATGTAACAATATTTTTTCATTACTTTTTCAAACTCAACATGAATTTTATTAATATGTAGTGCCTTTTTCAAATTGGAGTGGCATGTACAAATTCCAAAGGTCTTTACTTAGATTAATTAATAGACGATACTAATTCTTTTTTACTTGTCACAAAGATACTCAAAAGATTATGTTTTTAATAGTGATTTTGAACTTTCTGACATTTGAACACCGATTATGACGATTGTATTATAATTTTACACTAGATGAATAACAATAGCATAATTACTTGCCAATAATTAATTACCTACTATAGTTAAATGAGTGCAGTTTACTTTTGTAGAAGAGTAGATTTTCTTCTAACATTTTTGATACCACTACTCTCCGATAGATGGCGTTGTTTCCAAAAAATAAAGTTGATGTTTGTATAAATAGAAATAAAATAACATCATCAATAAAATAATAGCAAAGGATATTATTTTTTAGTAAAATAATTTGTAATTAAGGTCTTAACACGAAAATTCGTTAATTTTAACTGAAAATTTTCGCAATTTTCCTTTTTAAACCCATGTTGTAGTTGTGTATGTACTTAAAACAAGATTTTATTTAATTGCTGTTCATAATACATTTTGTAAGATTGTTGATGCAAATTTTTGATATCTTTTATTGTTCAATATGGGACTGAATCATACAAAATAGTTTGGGAAAAGCCTTTGAAAAAATTTACACCATAGGTAGGTATCCTTATTTTCAAAATTATGTTATAGTAAATCATGAAGATATGTAAAAATCACGTTTAGCATACATAAACGTAGACATTTCACTGTTTTCACAAATTAAATATTATAATTGTAAGTGTAAATGGAAATAATGCGTATGAAATAAATGTTGTAGTGATAATTTTATTTTACTGTATTAATCCTTTTATGAAATAGCAGGATGGATATTAATACTTGTATTCCGTTTTTAGGGTCCCGTAGTCCTGTACCTCTAGTACGAAAAACTTTCGAGTTCGTTTCGTTGCGTATTCAAAGTGTAATCGAAAAATTTTGTATGAAAAATTAAACAGCGCCCCCTAGGGCGGCTATAATATAGGGGGCGCTGTTTAATTTTTCATACAAAATTTTTCGATTACACTTTGAATACGCAACGAAACGAACTCGAAAGTTTTTCCTACTAGAGGTACTGAAAAGGAACCCTTAAAGTTTCGTCATGTCCATCACGACTGACAACTACGGAACCCTACACTGCGCGTAGCACGAAACGCACTTGGTCGGTTTTTTTACCCGCCTGCGCCAGAAGGAGGGTCATTTTTATGTTTTTAGATTACTTCTAGCATGAACAAAAAGTTGAAAGTTGAAAGACGAAAGGGTCTTCGAATCTTTTGCGTATTCGACAAAATTCGATATCTTCGAATTAAACTATAACGTGATTACGTGACAGTTTTGATTCTCAAAATAAGTTTCGTGCAACCCTTACTCATACTAAGTTCACTTTACGACACGTTCACAAGGGCGCTGTTGCAGTTTTCGTACTAAATCTTTTGATGGCGATTCGAATACGCAAACGATTCGAAGACGAAAGTTGTTCATGATAGAGGTAATAATGTGTAGGACTAGTTAGAGGGTAGGTAGGAGGAAGCAGAAAAAACACAATTCACTCAAACGAAATTAGTCAATTGCTTGCCTATGATTGGCCTGATATGCTTTATACGGTTGAAATAAATAAGTTAAATATTCATAATAATTCATGCAAAGATTACTTACAGTATTACTGCAACTCGCACTAAATTCACTGATATCACAATGTTTGTTCAATTTTCACTAAATACTTCTACTCGCGAATTCGCGATTGTTACGCGCGCGCGTTCGCCCGCGAATCCATTCAGCGAATGACGACGAGCATGCGCGGAAGCGAATGACGTGGTGCGTCAATTCAAATTCAAAATTATTTATTGTGAAACTTATGTGTTTACAATGCAATGTCTTTTTATTTTCGCTCAAGAAAAATGTGAGAAATTTAAAGAAAAGTATCTAGTTTATTTCTTATTTACGAATTTTTGAGATATTGATGAGACAATTTATTTTATTTTATTTTTATGTTTATTTATTATGAAATAAGATATCTTTCCTACATAATGTAATATGGGAAGGTATGTACCTTAATATAAAAAAAGGAAAAACCGTTTAATACAAAAAGTTTTAATGTACAAAAATCACCTTAACAACAACATACTTTAGTAAATGAGTCTAATACATGAAAAATACACAAAAAGGTACAAAACTATACAATTTGCTTAACTTGGGACTCATTGCTAAAATACAATTAATATCTACATTAATAATAATACATCCACAATGCTACGCGAGTCTTCTCTTTGTATAAGACGGAGCGGGGCATTCGTAGTCCTTTCAAATTCCAACGCCCCGCAAACTCCCCGCGAACGCCCGCGAACTCCCCACGAACGCCCCACGCCCCATATAGATATAATTTAAGACGAAAGTCGCCTTTTTGCCTAACGCAGTCTTGACAGAATACAATCTTATACTAAACAGGCACCTACACCGTTATAACACTTACAAATTACATACACATAATCATACGTTTGTTGCAAAACAAATAAAAGCCCTTTCCCATGACAATCCAGTTTTGGGGATCCAGTAATGCAGCACCGCGCAAAACTGGACTGTCGAGTGAACACTCATTAGTGTTTGGAATTCAAATTCCAAATTCAAACCGTCTTTGAACATGTCACTTGTTCATATTAAACAGGATCCTGCAAAAAATCGGATGCTTCCTTGGGAAAGAGCCCTATAATGCCACCGTGTGGCATTATTAATTACAACATTCACAACAAATTATTTCTTAACAACAGAGGGCTTAGTGTGAGTTTACATCAAACCTTGTCACTAGCGAGCGCGTTAAAAAAATATATTTTCCACGGAGATTTCAGTTCTTGAAAGTCTCCGCTAGGGGCGCTGTACAATCCATCATACATGCCACTTTTTACGCATTCGACATCGAATGCGTTTGACGTAAACTCACACTACGCCCCCTGAAAGGCACTTATTCGTTGACACTTCGAATTTCCCACATTAATACCTGTTTCACTTAATATCAATGGAAATTATCAGTTGTTTATTAAAACTGAAGACAACTTCACATTATCATTATTATAATAATAACTTCTACAGTCTTTAAGCACAACACTAACTTTTACAATCTCACACATTTTAGGTTTACGTTTGCACGAAAAGTTTCTTATACCACTTACGTTTTTACAGAATTTTCAGGTTATTCTGTATATTTATAAAAGCGAAAGATCTCTGACTGACTCACTCACTCATCACGAAATCTCAGAAACTACAAGTGCTAGGAGTCTCAAGTTTTGCATGGGGTTTCCTTTTAGAATGTAGGTGCTCACTAAGACGGGATTTAAAAAATCAGCCTTTATAATTTGACGTAATTGGGTTGGTATTTTACACACTTTTAGCACCGTCTGTCTGCCAAAGCAACGATGACCCAAACTTCATGTTTGGCCATGGTTCTTTGCTACGTGCGGAGCATACGCTGACAAACTTTTAGCCTTTATAAAATAACGTAGGTCTGGCGTTCACAAGCTCTTAATTTCATGCAATTTTTCGGGCAAACGTAAGTTATTCTATGAGATTGTCGAGTGTGGACGCCTATGCAGCCATGACAGTCGGCGCAGGATCACTGGTGGCAAATACTGACGTTATGCTCGGAAACCAGCCACTGATCCAGTACAGAATCAGGCCCCAGAACAGGCACTGAGCGATAACGTCTACCCAGTACATTCTGTAAAAAAATATCCATAATTAACATCTTCAACCAATAGACGGCCAATGGGGCAGCAAGGTTCTGGAGTGGAGACCGCATACCGGAGAACGCATCGTGGGAGTTCACCCACAAGGTGGAACGACGACATCATAAAGAGCAGGAAGGCGCTGGATGCAGGCCGCTACCAACCGGTCAACATGGAAATCATTTGGGAAGGCCTATGTTCAGGAATGAACGTCCTGTGACTGAAATGATGAATCATGATGATGAACCAATAGACATCCACTGAAGAAATGTCTCCCACAACGATTTAAACAACGACTGATCCTACGCTGCCCACAGCCAGGCGCCTTGACTAAATCGTCGGTCCAGTAGGAGGCTTGCGTCTCATCTTGGCCATCTGTCGAACTTTTCATATTCTTTTGGTAATTTATTGCGAATTTCAAGGGAGGCAGTTGGGATTATTAGTCAGTCGACCAACTCCGATCCGTGGTCGCTATTCTAGTCCCAGCTATTCAGATATTTACCAATATATCTAAAGCCCGGTCTGTGAGCACGTAGAATTTTAATGACCCCAAGCTACCCATCCTTATCGCTCGCGCGTAATTATATTGCTGTCGCGACTGTGCGACGCGCGCCCGCAGTGAGTGTGCGAGCGCGACAGCAACATAATTACGCGCGAGCGATAAGGATGGGTAGCTTGGGGTCAGTGGACAAAATTCTACGTGCTCGCAGACCAGATTATACCGATATTTTTTAACTTCATCATCGTGGAATTCCTTGGAGCTGACCTTCACCAGTTTCAGGTCCTTTTTAGGAAGAATAAGGGTTCCTTGTCAGGACTACGGAACCCTAAAAAGGGAAGTAATGAAGGATTTAATACTCACATTCTCATATGCCTTCGAGCTGCGGGCAATGTGTCGTCGTACTCCTTCAGGATATAGATACGAGCAGCCTTGATGCAGTCTTCGAAGTACTTCATGATGTCCAGACCTGCACAGACACGAATGAAATAAGTAGTACTCCTTTTTGGTATGAAGAACAGCAATATCGTCTACCAGCGGCAGAGCGGCTTAGATAGAGAGAGACTGACTTGCTTGACACTTATGCTGAGTTGCACCATCTAACTAATCTTACTTTAACTTTGACAAACGTCAAAAATCTGTCAAACTCCATACAAAAAGCACCGGTTATTGTTACGGTTAAAATAAGGTGAGCCTTATTGTGACAACTCACAACAGCAGCTGTGGTCTAGTAGTAAAACCACCTACTTCAGGTTCCAGGTTCCATTCCCAGTAGGTGGGGACAATTTTTTCTGCCGTTTGGATGGTGGTAGGGCTCGTTTTTATCTGCCCTAGCTAGCCGACCAGTCTCTTACCTAAATCTGTCGCCATAATAATGTTAACACCATTGTTGTGTTCCAGCAGTTCAAGGTAAGATAGCCAGTTCCTCTGCGACTTTGACTTTTGACTTTGACTTGACTTTGATATCACTTACCAAAAGCATCAACCTTGCAGTTTCTTCTCTCCCTCGTGTTGAGACAGTCTAGGCGATGTCAGACACTGGTTATTCGATACATAGTCAGACAACAAGCATAGCGTGTCAATTACCAACAGCATCAACCTTTACCAACAGCATCAACCTTATAGTTTTTTTTATCCACAACGAGGAAGTTCTTGGCCTGTATCTCACCTGATGGTAAGTGATGATCAGGCCAAAGGTGGAAGCGAGCTTCACCCGGAATCTTCAACCACGGAGGAACTGGCTATCTTACCTCCAACTGCCGGAACACAACAATGCTGTTAACATTGTTGTTATGGAGACTGTTCTCTTCTAGCGTGTCACTTACCAACAGCATCAACTTTATAGTCTCTTCTCTCCCTCGTGTTCAGACGTAGTCTGACAGTCTGAGCGATGTCAGACTTGACCACTAGCACGAAAAACTTTCGAGTTCAAATCGTTTGCGTACTCAAATCGCCATCAAAAGATTTAGTAAGAAAACTACAACAGCGCCCTTGTGAACGTGTCCTAAAGTGAACTACGAGTAAGTATGAGATGTCGTTGCACTAAACTTATTTTGAGAATCAAAATTGTCATGTTATCGTTTAATTCGAAAATTGAGTATCAAATTTTATCGAATACGCAAACGATTCGAAGACAAAAGTTGTTCATGCTAGAGCAGTCTTTCCCAAAGTGGGCGATAACGCCCCCTTGTGGGCGCTGCAGGCTTAAAGGGGGGCGGTAAGAGACCCAGAAAAAAAAATCGGGACGTTGTGTAGAGGCTTGGGAGGCGTCATCTACTAGGAGGACTCTTAGACACCGACTGAGCTCGACTCTTGACTACAAAAATGGGGGGCGCTAAAAATAATTTATTCTCAAAGTGGGCAGTAGAGTAAATAAGTTTGGGAACCGCTGTGCTAGAGGTATTGAAGTCCCACTGGTATTCGATACATAGAGTCAGACAACAAGCATTATAGCGTGTCACTTACCAACAGCATCGACCTTGTAGTCTCTCCTCTCCCTCGTGTTGAGACGTTGTCTGACAGTCTGGGCGATGTCGGACTTGAAGTCCCACTGGTTATTGGTGTAGTACTCGAACACTTCGAAGCCTTTGCTGATACGGCGGTGGACGCGCATCAGGCTGGAAGAACAGGTTAAATACTCTTTAGATTAGATATTCTTCTAAACCAACTGTGGTTTAAGATCAAACAGATCTGCTGGTAGGGCCCAAAAGATAAGGAGACATGTAAAGTGCCCCATAAGGGCTACCTTTTCTTTTTTTATTATTTTCTATTGACGTTCATAAGTGCCACTTGTGGTCTAAACTGAATAAATATTTTTTGATTTTGATTTTGATTTTTGATTGAACAAAATTGGTGGGGTTGAATAATGAATGGCCGTACCCAGCCTTTGGGCAGAGTAAATACAAATGAGTAGGTCATCTTCATAGAAACGCACGGGCGCGGTTTGTATGTGAGCGCGCCAACACGTATGCGGCGCGCACGCACACACTGACAAAAAGCGGGGATTAGCGGGGAGCCAGTCGTGGCTGCGCCGAATTTTGTCAGTGTGCGCGCATACGTATATTGGCGCGCTCACATACAAACCGCGCTCGGTGCGTTTCTATGAAGATGACCTACTCATTTGTATTTACTCTGCTTTGGGCCAAGGAGAGACAGGCTGACTCAGGGTACCTGGAGTGATCCAGTGCCCCAGTTAGAGATGAGGTCGCATGAAACGTAAGGTTTGTATGGTTAGGGCTTACAATTTCCAAGGGGTAGCTGCTATCCCTTTTTGGTACGCCCATGGATAGAGTTATTTTTGACTCAAATATAGTTCTGCTAGCCAAATGATAAGATAGACAAGTAGAATTGATGCAATCTTATCATTTATTTTATTCATTTTTTCATTACACATCATCATCCTCATCAACAGCCCTTTACAGTCTACGGCTGGACTATGAGCTTCCTCCACTATAGTGGAGGGTTTTGTCATAATCCCCACGCTTGGCAGGCGGGTTGGACATCGCAGCTTAAAAGATTGATGTTTTTCAGAGAGTTTTCTGTTTGATGTGTAATCCCTAAGTCGCCTCTTACGACACCCGCGGGAAGAGTAGGGGTTGGTGACAAATGTATTCTACTCTGCCGTCACCACACGGCTTACATTTTCATTACACATAATTCTTTATTTGTAAACATTTTCATTCCCCAAAAACGAAAGATAATTTCCCTAATTACGGTCAATACTCACATAGGCTTGTACCCGAGGCAGAACAGCAGTATGTCGATCAGGATAGCGGGGATCCAGTGGAAGAATAACGCGCAGATGTTGTGGTACAGCCGGGAGTGCTTCATGGAACCGCCGGGGTACCTGGGGAATAAATAAATAATAAGTAAATCTAAAGTCATAGCCATATATCACAGAAACTAAAGGGAGATGTGAAAAGGGGGCGGCGCCGGTGTCGCAGCAACATGCCCAAAAATGGTGGAGTTTAAAACAAAGAATACTGAAAGCCTCAAATTGTTACGGTTACGATCCCTTTCAGGGTTGATAAGTGTGCTACGTCCTTAAACTCGCCGCAGACGAGACTTTTGATCGGCCGATAGTGTGGTCGTTTTCCAATTTGTATGAGATAATGATTATGCACGTAAATGTTTTCATTGAGCGGGAATCGAACCCGCGACTTCTAGACTAGACAAGAAGTTGCCGACCACGGTTAGCGGCCGACCGCATAATGACAGTGATCTTGGCTGTAATGATAATGAAGGTGACAGAGATTACAACGATGATGACGATGGTAATGATTATGGTGCTGTTAATAGTGATTGTATCGATTAGGGTTTATGATTTCTCGAGCTTTTTAATTTCTCCGGTCTCGAGAATTCCCGGGAATGAACCCTAGTATCGATCAAGATGGTGATGATGATGAAGTTGATGTTATTGATGAAGATAATGATGATAATGATGACTCACCACCTCACACGACACCATTAAGCGGCAGTCTGTTCATGATGATCTCTCGTCCATCATAATCATAATAATCATAATCATTTATTTGCAATTAAACATGGTATATAAAGATGTTAGGTACAGACAGTGAGAACTATACATGTTTAGCTAAAATTATTAGCATGCAAAAGTTAAATTAGAAACACCACAATATTAGCGACGATTCTAAAGAAGAACAAAACTACAGCAAGTCAAAGAACTCTTTTAAATCTTAAAGTGTCAGTGATAGCAACCATTTACTCAAATGTTTCTTAAAATTACAAACGTTTAATGTCCTAAATTCTTTGGGTATTTTATTATAGATTTTAATACACATAATTAAACAGCTATTTTTGTACTGCACTGTTTTTGGGGTGACCTGAAGTACCAACCTGTTTGCGTCTCTACTATTTCTTGGATAGTAATCACATGCCCGTTTAAATAAGTGCTTATTCTGCATAACAAATACACATGTGTCAAATATGTAAAGAGAAGTCAGAGTTAGTAATTGCGTCTGACTAAATAGAGGACGGCAAGACGTACGCGGGGGAACACCATACATTGCTCTAAGGCATTTTTTTTAGCAATAAATGCTCTATTGATATGAGGGCTATTGCCCCATATCAATAGTCCATACCGTAATAAAGACCCCACATAAGCATGGTAGGCCGTGATTGCCGTACCTAGATTAGTAACTGATCTGACACACTTTAGAGCAGTCTTTCCCAAAGTGGGCGATAACGCCCCCTTGTGGGCGCTGCAGGCTTAAAGGGGGGCGGTAAGAGACCCAGAAAAAAAATCGGGACATTGTGTACAGGCTTGGGAGGCGTCATTTACTAGGAGGACTCTTAGACACCGACTGAGCACTCGACACTCGACTACAAATGGGGGCGATAAAAAGAATTTATTCTCAAAGTGGGCAGTAGACAAAATAAGTTTGGGAACCGCTGCTTTAGAGCATATACAAATGAATTGATACGGCTACAAATACTATCTATATGGTTTTTCCAATTAAGATCTTTGTCAATTATTATTCCCAAAAATTTAATTTGATCTACTTTATTAATGTCTATATCTTTATATTTAATTTATTTTATTTTATTTGTTTAACAATGTTTCAACAGCATTAAATTGTACATAAATGTCAAGATTAATATGTTTATATTTATTAAATTGTATATATTTTGTTTTAGTCAGATTAATTTTTAAACTATGCATGTCATTGTGGAAAACCTTGGGGGAGGCCTTTGTCCAGCAGTGGACGTCATTTGGCTGAAACGAACGAATGTCAAGAAATTTAATTATGTCATTAATAGTTGCATTTACGTCATTCTCATGTTCTGTCACTATGTTATTTGAGGTTACTGTAATAGATATGTCATCTGCAAATGCGATACATTGATGATGTCCAGTTGCATTAAAAATGTCATTGATGTATATAATAAATAAAATTGGCCCTAATACGCTACCTTGTGGTACACCACATTGGTTATATTTATATTGTGATGAGCACGATATTATCTCATTTTTATTGTTTAATGTATCTACAACTACACATTGTTTTCTATTACTAGTATATGACATCACATCATCTCCAGTCACGTCACCTTGATCTCAGCACAAGACCATGATGATAGTTATGGTGCCTATACTTATCATGGAAATGATGATGATGATGATGATAATGAATAGTGACGGTGAATAATTAGAGGATAATAATAGTGAATGTGACGACGACGATGATGTTGACGGTAAAATTGGTGATGATGATGATGATGATGACTCACCACACAACACCGTTAAGCGGCACTCTGTTCATGATGATCTCTCGTCCAGCGTCGATCATCTCCAGCCATGTCACCTTGATCTCAGCGCTGGAGGTGAAGTTGACCACTCTTGACTTTTTGTCGCTGTGAATTAAAATATAAAAGTTGTTATAGAGCAGTGGTTCTTAACCTTTAAGTCACGAGGGACCATTTTACCAAATTTCTGTGTTGTCAGGGACCACTTTTTTTTTTCTTCAAAATCCTATGAAAGGGGAGGTCGATTTCTCGCCCATTGTGCGCCGTTTGCGTTGTGTTGCCTCGACTCATCACGTCACGTCACTTGTTTATTACGATGTCTTCGCGGACCACTTGGAATGCCTCCAGGGACCACCAGTGGTCCGCGGACCACCGGTTAAGAACCACTGTTATAGAGCATTTCATCCACGAAGACGCGCCCCACCATTCTTCCGCTAATGTCTGAGTGTTACCGGTACACGCTAAATGATCCATGAGTGCACACGCACACTACAGTAATGCCTTACGGATTGCTCGGACCACACTCCCCGCACCCCGCGCGACCGGGACCAAACATGGGGCGCGGCCGAGTGGATGAAACGATCTATAACTACTCAGATCAAACTATTTTTCAGTCCATAATTATGCCACCATTATCTTTCTTAACAATAAAACCGTTTAAAAACACCAACTTACCCGTATGTGATGTAGTTCCACGCACTAATCATGATTCCGTTTATGAAGACGTCAACTGGCAGGTAGTCGGCGTAGCTGTTGCTCTTGCAATACATAGTGCGGATCACACCCTTGCCCGCGCCTGAAAAAACAAATATAATCATCATTTTAAATCAAATTAATATTTTTTTTCTTTTAATCTTCATCACCATCATCATTTCAGCCATAGGACGTCCACTGCTGAACATAGGCCTCCTTCAAGAATTTCCACAATTACAATTGAACCATAAAACAGCTAAAAACTTAATAATATTAATTGGCGTCCGTTTCCGTTAAAAATACATACAGTCGAACATAGAACCTTTTTTTAAGTCGGTTAAAACGATAAACCCCGGGTTGCACCATCTTACATTAACTTTAACAAACATCAAAAGTTTGTCAAACTCCTTACAAAAACTCAAAACATTATGTTATGGTTATAATTACGCTTAAAGTGAAAGTGGCGCAAATTAGGTTTAATCCATAGTTAAATCCATCATCTGGTACTTTGCTTAGTTTAGAACTGAAGGCGCCGTGTATTTCAAACACCAAATGATTTTTTTAACTTTTAAAATATTCTATGAATGAATTCTTACCAATAAGAAGACCAGTGGGGCCGTTGATGTTGTCGGTCCATCCTGGTAGAGGCTCCTGCCAGATGGGGATGACTGGAAAAATAATACTTTAGTTTAACAAGTTTCTAAGTATTTCGGCATCGGACTATCATCATAGGTCTGGCTCTTATACACTCGGCATTAAATAAATCGCACCTCCAGCAACAAGCACTTCTCAACCGTATGCATCCCCACTTCCCACCAACATTGGTTGCATTTGAAAGCCTAGTTCTAACCTTCATTTCATTAAAGGAAAGGTTTTTTATCCCAAAAATGTGTTTTTAGAAGGATCCAGAGTCACTGCTTAAAAAAATAGGTAGTTACGCTTGAGCCAACTTTTATGGCTATAAAACTGTTAAATGGGGAATAATCGCTATCCATCTGTTAAAAAAGACAGGTAAGATCATTATTTGGTTCTATATCCACAAAAATTGGTCTAATTGATCCCAGAGGTGAGTACATTTTTAATTGTTTATAAAAAAAATAAATGTGTTTTTCTTTAAGTTTATTTATTGGGCTTTCAAATAACACCAATATTGTTGGAGCACCATGAATGTGTCAGAAGAAAATCTTTAAAGGTCGCGTCGCGGAAGGTGCGATTTATTTGATGTTGAGTATATAAGTCAGTGTGTGTGAACTATGTATTAAATGGTTTAATATTAATTCACAATGCTCTATGTATCATAGTAGTTAATACATATTGTAGACACAAAAGATGTGAGACTATTTGGGACGTGTTTCATATTGATTGAAGGATTGAATCCACTCACCGATGGAAGGCCTGAGGATCATGGCAGGGATGAGGTCAGCTTCCATTGCTTCCACCACCACGGCCTCGCCGAGAGCTTTCGTGAACGCATACGAATTCGGTAGTTTGTCCAGTAACCTGAAATATTGAAAAAAATATGGTTAATTATATGTATTATTAAATCTTTCCTCTTCATAATATTACTAGCGGCTGCTCGTACGATCCCGTTTTACCTTAGGGGTTGAATTTTGAAAAAGCCCGTCTTAGTGAGCACCTACGTTCTAAAAGGAACCCCCATGCATTTGAAACTCCTAGCACTTGTAGTTTCTGCGATTTCGTGATGAGTGAGTGGGTCAGTCAATCAGTGACCTTTCGCATTTAAAGATATTCGATTATAGTTTTATTAATCCACCTACGAGGTGGACAGACAGGCTTGAGGGTTCCTTTTAGAACGTAGGTGCTCACTAAGACGGGATTTTGCAAAACTCAACTCCTAAGGGTGTAAAACGTGATCCACACGTACGAAGTCGTGAGCGGTCGCTAGTATTTGTATAAAGAACACTTACATAGGTCCACCTAGTGGGAGGCCTGCCCACGCTACGTCTTCCGGCTCGTGGTCGCCACTCAAGAACTTTCCTGCCCCAGCGGCCGTCAGCTCTACGAGCTATGTGCCCTGCCCACTGCTACTTGATTTTAGCGATTACCACTAGGTGGACCGACGATCTGGTGAAGGTCGCGGGAGGCGCCTGGATGCGAGCGACGCAGGACCGGTCTTTGTGGAAATTCTTGGGGGAGGTCTTTGTCCTTTGTCTTTCGGCTGAAACGAACGAACGAACTTACTTAGGCGTCAACTGTGCGACGGTTTCTTCATCCATCCACTCCATAGCCTGGATGATCTGGTGAGGATCCGCGGGGGGAGGGTAAGGCTTCTCTTCCAGAAGCTTCTCGTGGAGGTGGCAGTAGGCCGTCGAGATGTGGATGAATAACTGAGGAAATTAAATTGTAAGATTACTTAAAGGCATTTTTATTCTTTTTAAAATATTCATAATAGTCTCGTTAACCCCACGTACCAAACTAAATTACTAATAGTAACGTTAACCCCTCGTACCAAAGTTAATTACTAATAGTAACGTTAACATCTCGTACTAAACTAAATTATTAATAGTCCCGTTAACCCCTAGCACTAAACTAAATTACAAATAGTCCGGTTAACCCCTCGTATAGATTGTTTCATCTAAAGCCTGGTCCGTGAGCACGTAGAATTTTGTCCAATGACCTCAAGCTACCCATCCTTATCGCTCGCGCGTAATTATATTGCTGACAAAATTCTACGTGCTCACGGACCAGGCTTTACAAAGACGAACCCCAGCAATGTTTGGTCTCGGTCGTGCGGAGTGCGGGGAGTGTGATCCGAGCCAGTGGCGGGGCAAGACCTAAATTTGATGTGGGCAAGACAGATTTCGCGAGGCCTTGTTCTGTGGCGACCTGAAGACGGATTTTAAAAAAAAAAAACGGGTCAACGGTCTATTCATTGACAGTTTCTGATTTCTTGATTCAGTGATTATTTTTAAAGGAATATTGCGCCAAAGAATAATGTTCGTCACTTAAAACCGTGTTGTTGCTTATTTTTGTGTCTGATTATATTATGGCTGAATTTGTTTGGAAAAAAATATATTTTTTTAACTACATTGTTTAGCTATCAAGAATTTATATTTAATAGTCAAGCATTTATTGTCGTATTGTGATATTGTCATCTCCACCTTGTATACATTTTTTCAAAATTTTTGATGCGCGAGGCCCCTTGTTCCGCGAGGCCGTAGGCGGTGGCCCACGTCGCCTACGCCTTACGCCGCCACTGATCCGAGCAATCCGAGCGGCATTATTGTAGTGTGCGTGTGCAGCATGGATGATTTAGCGTGTACCGATAACACTCAAACATTAGCGGAAGAATGGTGGGGCGCGTCTTCGTGGATTAACTACTTAACTAATAATTAAGCTTATGTCGCGAGTGGATTCACCACAATAGGTAGTCCAGCGGTGTTCGAACCAGCGTTCCTCGGATCTCGAGTCGGCCAGTCCGACCCTTCACCGCTCGGCTTTTGTTGCTTTTTTATTGATGCATTAACGTAACAAAAATTACCTTAAGTTTTTTGCAGGTCTTAGCCAACTCCACGATCAGTTTTGTGCCTCTGACGTTTAGGAGCACTGCTTTCTTTAGTTCTTCGTCAAATCTGAAAAGCATACAAAGGAGTTAAAAGAGTGCGTACCCAACTCAAAACTCAAAGATTTATAGCTATTTAGGCCTCAGCCTCGAACTTAGCGGGCNAGGCCTTATAGCTTCTCTCACTTCTAGCTCTATTCTAATCACTCGTCTATAGCTCCACTTGTTTCTAACTCTTCACAGTCGTAGTCATACTCTACTTAGTCTCTTTTAATAAATCTACCTACTATTTCTTGGCCCTTCTGGCTTCTTACTCCATTTATTTCTACTTCTCCTAGCCTAGTTGTTGTCAGTTTGTATTCTATTAACTTCCAGCTTTGATCGATTCTAGCTCGTCCTTTCTTCACGCTCCTAGCTACACTCACTTTATCAACAGGATTCAGTCACAATTTAGTAACCTGTCACGCTCATCCGGGGCCAGCGTCGATATGTCATCTTCGCTACGTAAAAAACAAATTTCTGAATTGTATACTCCGTCAGTTAGTTAATAATTAGTTGTTGCATCCTGTCACTTTGGCAACTTCATTGTTATCCAACATTCTGTGCATGTCGTGGCAACCTTTAATTAAGGCAACACCTTAGCTTAATTTATTTTTAAGGAAACTGTGAATGTATGGTGTATGTTTTGTTGGTTGTCCTTAAATAAATAAATAAATAAATTTAGCTCCACTTGCTCTAGCCCCTTTCGCTTCTAACTTATTCGCGGTGTGACTGCTTAAAAGCGTCTGAAAGGTAGAATATTGGTATACCTGATAGTGGCAGCAGCGTGTATCATAATATCCACGTTTTCAATCAGCAGCTGTCTGTCCCCCTCGCTCATAGCCAGGTCGGGTTCGCTGACGTCACCAGAGATGAGGGTCACCTTCTCCAAGATCGGTTCCACTCCACCACGAAGGTTGCGGAGTTGCTCGAACAGCTGGAATTATGGACTCTATTAGAATGAAGTAAAGTATAAAATCGTAAATATAAATAAATAATGGATAATAAGTTTTTCATCATCTTCAGATCATTTCCCGTCCTAAATATAGCTTTTTCTTAATATTAACCATTTTTTTCATCATCTTCAGATTATTTCTCGTCCTAAATACAGTTTTTTCTTAATAATAATTTCGTTGCGGGTCTAATGACAGTTTAACTTTTCCCCGGGACAAACTTGGCCTTCATTAATTAGGTTTTTATCCTTCCGCCACTTCTTCTCAGCACCAGTGGGTGGTGGTAGGGCAAGCTATGTATATTTGGCCTATGTACCTACTGAATAAAATATTTGAATTTGAATTGAAAGTATATCCTGGCAACATAGGAGTCGTAGCGCTGGGAACGAGAGGTGGGAATTGTCTCGATTTACCATAAACTCGTATTTATAGAACTAACTAGCAGCCATTTTACCTCCTTAGGGGTTGAATTTGGCAAAATCCCGTCTTAGCGAGCACCTACGTTCTAAAAGGAACCCCCATGCAAAATTTGAGACTCCTAGCACTTGTAGTTTTTGAGATTTCGTGATGAGTGAGTCAGTCAGTCAGTGATCTTTCGCTTTTATAGATATAGATAGATAGATAGAATGTCTTGAAAACAAAACTATTTTCACTCACGACTAAGTAGTAATAAAGGATATGCGAGCAACATGTTGTGGCAACGCTCGTGAGCAAAGTTGTCGCAACCGCCGCCATATTGTGAAACGGTTTTGGTGTAACTACGGATCCATTCTAGTTTCGTCGTTTAAGTCTTGGAGGAATTTTAATAAAATACGTCTTTAGACAGATTCAAGTAAATTCAAATTCAAAATTCAAATTGTTTATTACATGAAACACGGTACATAGGTAAACGAACTATTGTCGCTGACATAGCCCGACGGATTAGCAAGCTAAAGTGGCAATGGGCAGGGCACATAGTACGCAGAACTGACGACCGATGGGGCAGCAAGGTTCTGGAGTGGAGGCCGCGTACCGGAAAACGCAGCGTGGGTCGTCCACCCACAAGGTGGACCGACCGTATTATAAAGGTAGCAGGGAAGCTGGACGCAGGCCGCTACCAGTCGATCAACATGGAAAGCATTGGGGGAGGCCTATGTTCAGCAGTGGACGTCCTATGGCTGAGATGATGATAATGATGAAAAATATTGGCGGCACTAGTTAATGAATTCAATTGATTACCCGACTGCGCCAGAAGGAGGGCTATGTTTTTGACTTTTATTATTTTATTGATTTCAAAGCTACCTACTAAAAATTTAACTTTCCCCCGGGACAAAATTTACCTTCACTGGTTGGGTTATTGGCGGTCAAGCTGTAGATCCTGGCTACACAGGAGTTGCAGCGGTGGGAACGACAGGTGGGAATAGTCACGTTACTAAAAATCTAACTTCACAGAATGTTGAACTGGGTTTTTAGGAGAATAAAGTGTTTTTAAAGAAGCTGTGCCTTGAAATCATTGGTGCCAACTACCCAATTATTTCGGCTATATTTTCTTATGAAAATAGACCTAAAGTCTCTTGAATCAAAATAAATATATTTTATTTAAAAAAACATACATTCATTATTGATTTTTGAGCGAGTTATCTGGTGTTAGAGACAAAAATACTAAGGCTGAGTGCAACTCCACCCACGTAATTTTAACCATAACTTTTTTTTTAACCACAACGAGGAAGCTCTTCGCCTGTATCTCACCTGATGGTAAGTGACGATCAGGCCGAAGGTGGAAGCGAGCTTCACCCGGAATCCTCAACCACGGAGGAACTGGCTATCTTACCTCTAACTGCCGGAACACAACAATGCTGTTAACATTGTTGTTATGGCGACAGACTTAGGTAAGATGGTGGTAGCTAGCCAGGCGGACTTAGAACAAGCCCTACCACCAACCAAACCGAACAGAAAAATCTGCTCCCACTGGGAATCGAACCCGGGACCTCTGCGTCTGAAGTAGAGGTGGGCGCCACGCCGGCGCGCCGCCGCCGCCGCGAATTTTTCCACGCCGCCGCCGCCGACGACCAGCAGTCGGCGCGCCGATACTGATACTGTACCAACTATTTGCAATTTATTCCTCTCCTATACTGTACTAATTTGTGTTTCTAACGCAGAAGAACTATTTTTTTATTGAGTTGAGCGGTTATTCTAGTTCAATAAAGTCCTAGTATCACTGCGACCGGTACCGATCTATTGTGATCGCCGCTATTTTCCTTACAGTTCGCCTCCGAGTCCTGCATCCATTAGGAATTGCAGTATCTTTTTGGGGGCGATATGTTTTACATCTTGTGGGCTTAGGATGTGTTTGCCCAGGTGTAAGCTCAGCTTGCGCATCAAAGGTCCGCAGTCCGTGAGAATGTGTAGTGACGTTTCATGTGCCTCTTGGCACATCCTGCACGTTCTTGATTCGGACAGTCCCATAGCGGACAAGTGCTTGTTTAAGCTGCTGAGTCCAATGAGGGCTCGAACTAAGATGCGCATTTTGATCCTACTCAGTCCTATGATCTGCTTGGAGCATTTTCGGTCATAGGCTTTTATGAAAGCTTTGGAATGAGTTAATCCTGGCGTGTCTGACCATGCCTTAAAGGATTTGTTTTAGAAGGTGATTAAGTTGGAGTTTAAGGCCATCAGCGCGGCCTGACTGAGTTAATGTAAATTATGTGGTTGGCATAATTTTGGTAAATCAAGTATATTATTCAAGTTGCTGCTTGGACTAGTAAATAATTGATCGCGAGAGGCGCGCCGGTCCCTCTGCTGTCAAGAAAAAAATCTCCGCCTTCGTCTGGCAGACAACCCACACTATTGGACTATAAGCGAATCACTCATACAGAGATTGGCAAATATGTCTCGGAATGCAAATGGGAACCACAACCTCTGGAAGGCAACAAAGTACCTCCCTCAAAGTGTTCTCCGCCTATTAGGTCCGGTAATACATGAGTGCGAACTGACAAGAAAAATCTCAGACCTTTGCTACATGACAAACCGGTTTATTTAAACCCATTGACACGGATAATCCAAAAAATGCACAATTCAATCAAAAAATAAGATCAAGCATTGGATTTGATCCGAGACTTGCAGCTATGCCTGCCTTTTGATTCCTACTAATGATGATTTATCCGACCGATTTCAGTCATGGTGACCACTTCGACCTAGCTGTCTTAGCGGCGCTGGTTCGCCCGAAGATGGCTTACATAGCCGATCTTCGCGGCAAACTCCTCGCACATTGAGAGTAATTAGCCACCGCCAATATAATTGGGTGAATTTCAACAAGTGCATATTTTTGCCTAATTTTGGTGGAAATTGTTATTTGTGTATTTTTATTCTTTAATTATAGATCAAATTTATTGGAAACTTATACTGTTTCTAAAATGATTAAGACATTAAATTTTGTCCAGTAGTTTTTTAGATTTTCCTTACACCAAAATTAAGAGAACACCAAAATTTATAATTAAGCACCAAAATTAGAAAATATGCTGTCCNGTGGGATATAGGGCATGTAATATCGGAAGGTTTTCAATTCCGATATTGGATTCTGATATTAGATCTCAATATCGGAATTCCGATATTAATATCGGAATTGAGTTAATGTGCTATAAAATTAATATTTGGTTATATTCGTAAGAATTCTGGATTGTTTACAATAAAAATAATGTTTTTAATCAAAAACTTTAATTTGGTATAAAACAGCACTTCATAAAATTGAAGTTTTTTAAAACCATTTTTACGTCACTTATTGGTATCAATTGCATTTGGTTACTACTGATAATGGGCCTATAGCCGTAGGAGAACCAGACCAAAGGGCGGGGCACATAGCTCGTAGAGCTGATGGCCGCTGGGGCAGGAAAGTTCTTGAGTGGCGACCACAAGCCGGAAGACGTAGCGTGGGAAAGCCTCCCACTAGGTGGACGGACGATCTGGTGAGGGTCGCGGGAGGTGTCTGGATGCGAGCGGCGCAGGACCGGTCTTTGTGGAAATCCTTGGGGAGGCCTATGTCCAGCAGTGGACGTCTTTTGGCTGACACGAACGAATGGACTAGCAAAGAATTTAAATGTTTTTGTAAAATCACAGGTGGGTATCAAACATACTTTTACTCCTTCATGATATTAATATTACCCTTCAACCAATAGGTCAAGTCACATGTTACAAAAATTGTAGAGAGTGGCAAAAAACTTAAATATGCTTGTAATTTGTTCCTTTTGAATTTTATCGATGTACAATAACTCACATATCCACGAATCTTCATCATCATCATGTCAGCCATAGGACGTCCACTGCTGAACATAGGCCTCCCCTACTGATTGCGGCCTGCATCCAGCGCCTTCCTGTTACCTTTATGGGGTAGTCGGTCCACCTTTTGGTGATGAGTCCTACGCTGTGCTTTCCGGTATATGGCCTTCACTTCAGAACCTTACTACCTCATCGTCCGTTAGTTTTGCGTACTAAGGCAGAATCGTTGGAAGACCTTATCACAATGCTCGAAGACCTTAATCAAGTCACCCAATAGGTAGGCCATGTCGAATGTCCATGTTGCCCCTTACCCAGTTTCGGTAAGGAGCTCGATTCTCGAGATTGTTGACAAGTATGTCTATCTCTGACATGACAAACGATTCAGCTATGTATTTAGTTAGATGCAATTTCGAGAAAGAGGTAAATCGTCGAATACTAAGACGAAAGTCTTCAATTAGTGTGTGTTACCAGTGATGATATACGGCTCGGAAACATGGCCTTTCAATATAGGCCTTATTAAAATATTAAGCTCAAAGTTGCACAGCGTGCTATGGAGAGGGATAAGCTTGGTGTTTCTTTACGAGATCTAATCAGATATGAGGATTAGCAAGCTGCAGTGGCAATGGGCAGGGCATATAGTACGCAGAACTGACGGTCCATAATCCAGTAAAATTAATGTTTGAAAGGGAGTTGAGAATATGTCGTTCTTCGTTGACCAAGTACCTATGGCAAA